CAACTGTTTAGCATCAAGTCATAGTAATGCTAGACTAATATCAAAGACATTTCCAAAAGTTCATTGTTTGATAAAGAAAATTGCATCACCTTTATTGGCTTGAAAGTTCCTTTATGCCTTACATAATATAAAAGTCAAAACAAGACAAATCTTGGACCGTTTAGAGGCTCCCTGCTCCCTCCAGTCCCCTGTGTAATTATACAATTTAATTAAATAATAAATAGAGATCTACATATTAAAGTAATATATAAAATTATGACACATCTACATGTATATGTCTGACATACATTTAACAAAGTATCGTAATAAAAAAATTTTCAAACACTAGTTAGGTAATTTGAATTAAAATCTGAATTATAATATGAACAGGACGAGCAGTTAATAAAGCCATTGATCAATGATCTAAAATAGCGGTAATGATAATTTGTAAATGACAGTTCAACAATGATGACTTACAGTTCAATAAGAACTAACAAAACTGACCTTGTTTCAAGACAAGCTTTACATGTACATTAGCCCCATTATCCTACACACTCCCATCCGTAGCAGCCCACACTTTCATATCAATTACATCAACACTAAAAGTTTCACTTCAAGTCTTACATTTTTCAATGACCACAGAATAGCCATTACAATAACTGTGATAAATACACAGCAATTTTTTTGTTATTTTCTTGCGGGCATGATGGTATTTAAGCTATACTTGGGGGTAAATTTGTCGCTCCTTTTATCCAATTTTACATTAATTTGTGTTTTTTCCTTTCAACCGCAATAAATACACAACAAATAATCTGTAAAGTTTGTTTTGACATAAGCCTTAGAAAACCGGACAACAAAGTGATAGTAAACTGACCAATGTTATAAATATGCCTATTTGACGATCTTACATAAATATCGAAATGAAAACATATTTAGTAAAACTTGGCCGCTGGACAATACATTTGTATATTCAGCAAATATATCACATAAACTCGGACTTTGCTAACTTTTCTAAAGCTAAATCAATATCAATATTATTCAGTGTAGTGTAGAATTTCACAAGGACAAAGGCTCCGAGTCTGAACCCCATGAATCAACTGTAAAGTCACATATCAACCTGAGGGTTCAAACCCATGAATCCAATTGAAGCCACAACCAGGGCTCAAACCCCATGAAGGTCTTAAATAGACTTAAAGCTTCTCTACATATACAAATTACTGACATAATAATGTATATCTATCTTAAGTAACTACGTTTCTGCTATAAACATGTACATCCGACAGGCTTGTTTTATATGTACTTAGTAGCAGTTTAATACTGTTCTACATGTACTTGGTTCAATTTAACAAAAATACTATCTAAAATTTTATTTGGCTTCAGAGTTTGAACTGAAAACTATCTTTAACCTGTAAATTTTAAGCTCAAATCATCGAAACTTGTATGTCATGTATATAATTAATGAAGTTTAAATTAGGACTTCAGTGAAGCCCTCTATTACAGTGGCATGTGAAATGATTACAGTACAATTTACATGATTTAAGAGGGAGAGAAATTATTTGGCCATTACAAGTTAACCATTATACCAAATAAATGTCCACATAATTGGTACATGTATAATTGCCATTTTAATATACATGCTTTAAAAGCACTCCAACCATAATCTAAATGTACATGTATGCTGCATGGCGACTGTAGAGCTAGTAAAAAATATGTGAAACATATTCTGATGTGAGTTATATTTGTAACATTTACCTTTGCTTCCAAAAACTCCGAAAGAAATGTTCAAATATATACAAAATGATGATTCAACATTCCTCCATGCCAATTGTTCATAAATTTTGTGAATGGTAATATATACAAGAAAAAAGTAAATTGAGTGATGTAAGTAATTTGAAAAGTTCTGTAGAATCAATAACTTAACAAAAGCTGTCCTAGTGCTGCACAGTAAGTTAAGGGGCATAACTCTAAAAGATAACTCAGAGTTATTTGACCTGTGCCCATCATGTTAGATAATCACAGAGAACAAGTGTGTGAAGTTTCAACCCATTCAATTTTTAGTAGTTTTGGAGATATCAACTTCCATGCAAAAACTTAAGTGAGGTTGAGAATTAATTTTAACATTACTCTTGTTTGAATTACTTTGATAGTACAAAGAGTGCCTAAAGTAATGGACTGCTTAACATTTAAGAGCCACACTTTTCATGAGCAACGGCCATACAATATGACAATTGTGTGCATGAATAAATGCTGACCTATTTTTTTTTACTGCAGACATAAACTAATTTGTATATATAACAATATAATACAATTCCTAAAAGCTTCATTTTACCGATATATATCTCTGAAAAACATAATTAAAGTTGTATAACCTAATCCTGGATTACAACAAGGTTTGTATCAACTTTCTTTCAAAAACTTACCTACAGTCAATATTATATACTAAGATTTTAAGACTAAATTAAACTACAGAATGTCAATCGACATTCCAACCTTCCAAATGTAAACAAAATTAACCTCAATTGATAGTGTGAAGCCAATGGTAAATGATTTAATGACTATTTTTCACTGACAAAATTTCCTAACCTTTAAAGATCTACCACAATCTAAATTTTGGCTATTTAAACTTTATGAAAATGGTTCATGCCATACAAAGTCAAGACTAGCATATACGGTGTAACACATATAAATGTTTATAAGTGCAGTGTTAAGATTACTTCAATTCATAATCATATGTCAGAAAGCAGTTTGTTAACAATACTAGAATAATGTTCATATGTCATGGTAGGTCTTTAATATAGCTTTCTTTTTAAATGACCCACTAAATTTCTTGTTTGCATACTTGGATGTTTAATATCATCACATATAAATGTCCTTGTTTTCTTGATTTCAAATGAAAAATTGAAAACTGACAAACCCTAAAGATCTTGATTAAAGAGTGATAACTTAATTATATCTGAAGGTAGTTTAATTAAAAGTTTACAAATATATGATACGTAACTGAATTGTAACATTGTCAGAATGTTAGACATACTTAAGCGAAAATTTGGTTATTATTAAGGCAAACTTGAAACAGACCATTCTATCCTCTGATATACATAATACATCACAGCTTTGATATTTATTATATACTTATAAATGAAATATTGAGAAATATTGATAAAATAAAATGCGTATTTTCATTTTCCTTATTTTCACTGTAAAAATTTATTTTTCACTGCAGTGAAACATATTTTCCGTATTTTCACTGGTGTCTTGCCGGACTACTTTCTTTTAAATTCTGCCAGTACACAAAGTTTAAGGGAAAGTCTTTCCAATTTTATCGCAAAAAAGAGAAAAATGTATATAATAAACAGAAAATTCAAGTTTTTTCTATAAATACATGATTTATTTTCATCTTGTGGCATGAAAATTACCATATTTCACTCGTGGCTTCCGCCACTCATGAAATATTTATTTTCATACCACTCGATGAAAATAAATCATGTATTTATAGAAAAAACTTGAATATCCTCTATGTATTGGTCCTAAATTCAAAATAGTCCAGAAACTTCTTGTTTTCTTAATCTTAATTTTTCAGCATCTTTTCAAATACAAATAAAAAAGTGTAATATTTAATGTGATCTTTTTTCACTTAAACTATTTTAAAACAACTTGAATAACAAGTGGTACCAATATTATGGTTTATTAAACAAAAGACTCAAAGGTCGGTAGAAAACCTTAACAAGTTATAAAGCAACATTAAATATAACAGAGCTCCGACATACTTCCACGAAAGAAAATTTAGCGATTGTCAATACCTACTAACTTGCTTCTATAAAGGTTTTACAAGCCACAAAAAATGTTAAAACTTTGAATGTGGAAAGGATACTCAAGAATAATGACTTATGCAGTTATTTTGTAATACTAATGTACATGTATGCCCTGAATCAAAGATAAACTTAAGTACATGTAGTTGCTCCATTTGAAATACATTTATTTCACTTTCAGAAACTGAGGTGACTAACTGCTAAATATTCAAAGGCTGTCAGGCTAGTTACTTAGAAATTTTATGGGCTTGACTCAGATTCTCTAGCCATGGGCTAGCAGGCTAGTGCTAAATTTGCAGACTGAATCTATAAGACGTCTAAAGTTGAGTTGTTACTTAGAGGCTTCTGAGTTCAAATATTCACACAGTTGGCAGCATGGCCAAAGGCCCAATGGTTAACAAGAGACTAGTGACCTAATGATTTCGGACCATGTCAGGGGCAAACCATTGTTGCCTTGAGCAAGAAACATTACACTCATTGCTTTATACATGTATGTAGCATATATTTGAATGAGTGTCTATAAAAGTATAAAATTAAACTTCTTACACAATCAAACACAAATAAATTCTGTATAAACTGAATATAAACACCCCTCACATCTTCAGATGCTGCGCGGCGCCTGACCAATTAACCTATACATAATGCCTGGAGTATATATAATGAACCGTACAGTATATCTAATTTCCTAATGCTAAATTTACTATTGATTACATTTAATAATTTGTTTTAAAGAAAAAACTGACACTGCATTATGATTAGAAGAATATGAACAGATGGAAACGTTCTGTCAAAACGAATCTGAACTAACCAAGGCAAATTCAAAACTTTTAAGACTAAGACTGTAAGAATAGATATTTCTAAATAGACTGCTATTTAATTTGTACGAGTTAGAAATAATTAAAACTACTGAGTATCATCCAAATAACATGAAAACTGCTTCACTGTTAAAGATTATTTCCATCCCGTGAATATATGCAGTATCTACGTAAATCCTCCATCTGATTCATTCATTTAGCCTTTAACGATTTAAAAAACTTCGCATACTGAATACCGTTCGTTTAATCGGTATTAAAATGTTTCATTAATGAATATCTGGTATTATTGCGGATCTAATCGATACAAATATAATTATAAAATGCTTTAAAATAAAATAACAGATAATACTCATCATATAAACCACAAAAATCATGTAAAATAAGAAGGAGAAAATCTTACGAAAGTTCAGCTCGCCATGTTCAGACAGCACTGGCTATTCTTGATCTTCATAACTGAAGAGTAGTTGTAAAATCTGAGGGGTCGTCTCAAAATAGAGTTTGTCTGTCAAAATGTTGAAAATACTGTGGTGCAAGTTTATGTAGCCTAATAAATGATAAACTGATGTGTTAAATATGAGAACTGATTCTGATGAATATACATGTGCCATTTAGAATTTCCATAATATAAAGGTTCACTAGCCCAACAAATTGTGCGCCAGAGCTTTTTATTACTTTTTATTATAATCATATAGGATGGTCGCCGTAAAGACCGACATCTAGCCTAGGTAATACCAGTTTGTAAAATTGGTCGATCTTGCAGTCGAAATATTAGGGTTTACCAACGGATGGGCGTAGCAGTAATAAGCGTGGACATGAGTTTTACTTTTCAGCTATGGTCAATGAGGTGGTAAACTGGTCAACTCACTGCAGGGCCATTTAGCCGGGATTTTGCCACATCTGAAGCAAATTGTGCTATGTTCCTGAATGCATAAAAAATATATTGAATGCCTGTACCAGGATTTTAAAATTCAAAAGGCCCGACTATTTTACAGAGGGGAAATCCGTGGTTATATAACTGAGAGCTACAAGTGTGTGCGACGGGGAAGGGGTATTTACCCTCGCAACCAGAATTGTCCCCATACGAACACGCATTTACTTCATTTAATAAATAACAAAATAATTGACTTTAAATGTCACTAATAGTCGGCAAACCCACGTGACTACTAGTCAACGTGCACAACCGCGGGAAAATTCTAATATGTAACGTCGATTCCTTTATAGAGGCATCTTCAATATTTTTGTTTATATATGTATAGAAGGCAATATTGGAAATAAGTTGTATTATGTAGTCTTAGTATGTCAACTTCTCAAAATAAAGTTATTATTATTTTTATTATTATGTTGTTGTTGTTGTTGTTGTTGTTGTTGTTGCTGCTGCTGCTGCTGCTGTTGTTGTTGTCGTTGTCGTTGTTGTTGTTGTTGTTGTTGTTTTTTGTTGTTTTAATAACGTGCATACACTACTACTCAGATGGCACTTATTACGGCTTTTTCCAGCTTTTTGTGAAGTCTTCATCATTTTCCATAATCTTCTCCCATCCGGTCCAGTCGCTGATTTCGTGCTCTTTGTTCAAATATTTTCATCACCGTGCAATTTGGTCAAGTCACGTGGGTTCGCCACCTTTGGTATGATTATTTGCATTTACTTTATGTATTGTAGTTTTTAACGAATATTTACGGGCAGATAATTTTATCAGCCATGCCATCATAAAGAGTTCCGAAGTAAACTTTCCCTGTAAAGTCTTAATCAAAGAAGGTGTTAGAAAAGAAGTGAACATGTGACATCATCAGAGCCTGTCGATGTTTGAACTCTCATTAGTTTTCTTTTACGTTTATGTCAGAAAAATAATTTTATTATTTGTACAATGAACTGTTAAAGTCATTTATCATGCATTCTTGTGTCTTGTGGTTTGAACGGATTTACCAAGGTAGACAACTCGGTTGAAAATATTATGTCCTGTATATTGTCCCCCTTGAATTGTTTATATCAACTGACCACAATATTTGTTTACCTGGTCTTACATATGTTTACAATGATAACCAGACAGTATGATGTAATATTGTGTACACGGTCTAGTTATTTCAATGACAAGCTAACAAAGGGTGTCAGCAGTTTGCGAACTGATAATGCATCTATCTTAAGGTTGGGTTAAGGTCCACGTAATATTTCAACATATCATAATTTACAAGTATATTGCCTTATTTATTGCATTTATAAACGGAACAAGGGATATGCTTAACTATTCGCAGGTTACAATCATTTTACTATTATTTTTTTCTGTTAATTTAAAATTGACGGTATTTCATTTCATATATTTACTGTTACAATGTAATTGAAATGATATTTCATCGAAACGTGAAACAATATTTTCACTGTTATTTGAAATGATATTTCAACGTCACGTGAAATTATATATTTACTGTTAAATTCTGTTTCCTCAAGTTTGTTTTACTTATAGTTTATTCATCATTGAAATGAAACTTAAATGCTATAATGGAATTATATCGAACAGTGAAAATTGAAGTTTAAAGTTAATTGAAACGCTGAAGTAAATATTATATAGATTATGTAAATTGAAATTACATTTTGATATTAATGAAAATGGAAATTTAATTATTGTTAATTTGAAATTATGCGTTATTCTTAACTTAAAATGATTGTTTTTGCTTTTATAAAAAGAAATTGCACTCCTCGGTTAGTTAAGATAATGTGACATTTCATTATTTATTGAAATCATTTTAACTCACGGTCGATTGATACAAAGATGTTCGAAAAGATATTTTACTGTATATTATAATGATACCATATATAACCGTGACTGCGAATTGAAATGACATTTCACAGCTTATTGATATTTCGCTGCTATTATTAAAATTGAAATGATATTTTACTATACTTCTTCATTAATTAACTGTTCATTGAAGTGGGAACCGCGTATTTATGTAAGATCCGCTGTTAAAACTTTTATACAATACAGACAACCACAATTTTACATTGTATAGATTTATAACATTTTGATCATTTTGTTTTCATGGATAACAGATCAGTGTTATTTTTTTCAGAGAAAACGTATTGTACGAAAGACGGTGGGGACATTTCGTCTTCATGAATTCCCGATTTCATCTTCATCAATTCACGATATCAATTTTATGAATTCAAAATTTCACAAGTTCATGAATTCACGATTTTAACTTCACGATTGAGGTGAATTCGTGAAGCTGATATCGTGAATTCATGAAAGTGAAATCGTGAATTCGTGATATTGAATTCGTGAATTCCGTATTATCAAAACATGAATTCACGAAATTAGAATTGCGAATTTACGTATGGGAAATAGGGAATTCATGAAGTTGAAAAAGTCACTAACTTTAGTATATCATTTTAAAATTTTATTGAATTTTAGTTACTATCTTGTCAAAGTTAATACAGAAATGTAGAATTGACAATGACCTAACATGTTTGGAAGTGGTGAAGGAAGAAATATGTAAAAACAGGAGTACCAGTATGTGATAATTTCTACATTTCAGATCAATAAAAGATGATAAACATGAACTAGCTTGGAATATTTGGAGGACTGGAATGTTTCAGAAACATTGCAAATATTTAGATATATTTTGTTGGCATTCAAAACATGGAGGATTCCGATTATGCAGACACGTGTTTAGAGGCTATTCTTGACAAAGACGTTGAAACATTTGAACAAGTGTTGCAAGATATCCAGCAAAATTCAACACAGCAAAGAAGGTCAAAGTGGGTTCAACACATTCCCGTGTTATGTACTATGTGCAACAATCATATTTTCTTGGAAAAAGTTCGTCTGCAATTAGGTGACGTATATAATTTCGAGTCGTCTGCTTGTTTAGGGGACAGGATAAGTGTGTTTGAGATAGCGCATTTTCTGGACTACAGAGAGTGTATAGAAATTTTAATCAAACTTTATGGTGAACCTAGCAAAAATAAGAGCGAAGAAACCAATCTGTTACGGAAGGATTTTTACATGTTTGCGAATATCCTTAATATTGCAAATCTGTTTAGTTCGTATCTACAGGATTCGGTGTCCAATATCGTCATTCGATACTTCCGGAGACTGGTTGAAAACGGCCTCGACATTCGGGTGCGTGGACCAAGAAATACAACACTTCTTCACGAGGCTATTTCGAAACTGTGCACCTTCGAAATAGTAAATACTTTATTTTCTCATGGGTGTGATATCAATAGCGTTGACGACAATGGACGAAATGCGTTGTCGTTGTTTTTAGGGCAAGCTAGATTCTCAAAATGTATGGCTCATGAGATAATCTTGATCCTTAGACGTTTGTTGTACCAGAACCCTGTTACGTCCATAGACGGTGGTGTAATTATAAACGCTATATTTTACGACAGGAAGAAATTTCCTGACGATTATGACTTATCAGACGATGAATTTTGTACGGACACAGAAAGTGCGAGAATTAACGAGGACGAATCGTTTGAAAAGGAACATCCCAATGAGTATTTGCGACTTTTGCCATGGTTATACAAATATGGTTTTCATATTTCCCAGGCGAATAGAGATTTGATCGAATCGCCAAATCTTTTCACTCAATCTATAAAGTACAATCTGTCTTTAAGTAGTCCGCGTACTTTGAAAAGTAGGGCACGTGTAGTGTTTCGTGACGCATACCCTGGACAAAGACTACATGAAGTTATGACTGCAATAACGCTTCCACCTTCTATTCGGGAATATATATTGATGGAATGCCTAAATATAGGCTTATGATATCATGAATCAACATGTGAGCAACTCCATAATTATAGTGGTATCAGCTTAAGTTATGGCACTTGAATATATAATTGTGTTATGTTTGTCCGGATTACATCTCTTATACCACTAATGCAATTTCAATGACACTTTTCAGGAGTGATTGGTAGTTCCGGTTATTGTGCATATTACACATGTTTTCTGCTTCATTGAGTTTTAGCTTGACTTAAAAAAAAAACAAAAAAAACTATAGAGGTATTGTTACAGTCATGTCGGCGTTACCGTCCGCAAACTTGTACCTTGATCATGAATTCATTAAAACACATCAATATTGAAAGCTCATAATAAATAATCAAAAGTTTATATAATTATTATAAATCTTATGAAACTCAATAGTTTATTTTCTGTGTTCTTACACATCTTATTCTTATAAATCTTTAACACTTAACACATTGCTAAATTGCTTGGAATTCGGTGAAACTTCGTTTGGACAAAATGTGTGTACTATATTCGTCAAACTGACAGTATGAGGACATTTAGTGAACTTTACTGTCCTCACAGGGCGATGCCTTAAGCGGAAGCGGAAGTATGGTTATCGTAGCTGTACCTCAGGGTGGTACATCGGTATTCCTATTATTAATGTTACAATTCACTAGAACTTAGTCAATAAGTGTATTACTGTATAGAAACGGTTGTTTGCAGTAGATAAGCCTATATATGTAAACAACCATTTATATAGGGCCTGTCAAAAATCTTTAAGACTAAATATACCATGACTTCACACAAAGTAGATATGCTATTTTTAAAAAAAAAACAAAAACAAAAAAACTGTGGTCACAACATGAATATATAGTGTCTTTAAAAAACTGGCAGTTTTCTTCAATTTAAGAAAGGACCAACTTTGCTTGACCTGAAATTGGGAAAGAAGCTTCCCATACATAGTTTATTCATTCTTTTATTCAAATTAGACATATTCAGTATTCATTTTACAGAATTCAATAAATTACTGCGATTAAAATATTTTAATCAAGGATGAGCATAGTATATCTTTAAATAAAGCGTCAAATTATTTGTCGCCTATCTATTTATATAAAACTATGGTAAGTGAAAACTGCTTGTTTATTTTGTTATTATGAAATATTCTGTGTGATGATTAAAATCCATTGATTACGAATGTTGTTAACTAAAATTAAAAAAAAAAAACATTTCATGTCCTTTTCAGACAACAGACACAGATGAATTATTATTTATTCATTGCGTTTTATGTCAAATCAAATTAAACATATGATGTATACTCGCTCGGTCCATTTGTTTAATTGAAGAACGATGACTCTAGCCTTGTCCATGAATAACAACGGATCCCAAAAGAATACTCCCTTAAAAGAAATGAAGGTGGGGGAGAGGGGGGGAGGGGGGCAATCCCGGGATCACCACACAATAAATTATATTAACGAAATATACAAGCAGTTTTCACTTTGCTTATGTCATAAGGACATAAACGACAAATAATTTGACGCTTTTGTAAGGCATGTATTCTACACAACAATTTGTCTTCTTCCACAAGACTTAAATCAAAATAATGATACCAGTTCTGCATTTACACTCATTACTCCTTTCAATAGCATACATTCATTTGAAAATCTGCATTTCTGTATGTAAATCAATATACATAGAAGGTGAAAAATCTGATATGTATAAATAAGGATACAATCAACACACATGGATTGCACAATACTTAAATAATCAGCAGCAATGATACAATTTGTGTATTAATTATCTTAATTACTATTCCTTACATTGGCATAAATACATTTGAATGTTTGAATTATTATATGTAAATCAATATACAAAGAAGAAGGATAAATCCTTAAGATAGTTTGTAATAAGGTATATTTTATCAAAGCTCAGTGGCATTCGCCATTATTTAAAGGTAGCAGCATGTCAACGAGTAAATAATTTAAATAACGGGAAATGGAAAGTGTTAGATCATAAAGTTGTACAGGTTAACAGAATTTGCGGTTAAAATTCAAATGTGTGCATGAAAAGATAACATAACAGAATAAATACATATATAACACATTCAGGGTGGCCTTTAAATTACATAACTGAAGAGATGTACAAGACATTAATTAAATTCGACGCAATGCTATGTCGCATTAATTTATTTGTTTTATTTGTGTTATAATAGCCTAGGTTAAGCCGCCGCATTTAGTGCTTTTAGCGCTTTGATCTACATTGCAGGGCTAGCGATCATATCATTTTCTTTTATTCAATGACAAGTTCCTCATAGAACTTAAAACGTTTCATTATGTAAAAATAGCCTGTTTATTTGCTATAAATGTCTGAAATCGAGAGATTGGTGCGTGTGCTTGCGATATCATAGCAGATCTTGATTTTTTTTGGAATTCAGTCTCTACGAGGACATTATCACACCATCTGAGAATTCCGGGTACCCTCCACCTAATTTCCAGGGTATCTTACAGTAACAGCAAAGTTTTCTATAACCATATAACTTTAATCGAGTAATATTCTATAAAAAGTCACGTGGGCTGGCTACCTAAGTAGAGGTGTTAAAATTTAATTGCAATACATTTATTGTTAGCCATTAAAGTTATAATGGATATAGGACTTTTAAAAACGGATATTTTCAGAGCAGGCGCTTTGGTGCAGTGGTAACACTGTCTGCCTACCAATCAAGGGGTCGTGAGTTCGATCCCCCGCTACTCCACTAAGAGAAGGAAATGACTACGAGACTGACAAAAACAGAACATAGAACTGTAGAGACTATACGAATAGAACGTATATAGAACGTATACAAACAGAGACAAAACGGTTAAAAAACATGAGAATTCAGACAGCAAAAGACTGCAAAAAGGGACGTCACACGGCAGATAACAATAACTACTTAACGAAAGTATGGAACAGACAAAACAAACCTTAATGCTGATACTCCACTTGAACAATTACAAAGACTGAAAAAAATTATAACGGAACGACAGCAAAGGGCATACAAAAGAGACGCCATCCGACAGATAACAACGGATATTTAACGACAAGTCGAAACAGGTGGATTTAATGGAACAGGAAAGGAGTACTAATAACGGGAAACGCAACAACATAATGAGTTAACGGAGCATACAATAAACAAAGACAACGACAGCCTTAACGGAGTGGACTACAGGACCAATGTATAGCGGAACAGAACATGACAAGAACAGACAATTAAAGACATCAGGCAAGTAGGCAGATAACTGAAAATCAAGTATTTGATACCTCGTTACTCCAACAGATTAAAAATATGTCCAGAATATCCAGAATATCACAGAACAAACAGCAATTATTCAGAGCGGCAAAAGGCAACAACAAACAACAGAAGACTGACAGACAAAAGAAACTTAATCGACACAAGAACGTTAACGATATAGACAAGAAAATACTTAAACGGAACACAAAAAGGAGGACCGATAACGGAATATGTTAAATAATACAGGCAGCAAAAGACTTAATGGAACATACTACAACAAAAACGTAAAGGAGCAAAAGACTTAATACAACGGTGTAGTGAACACTGAATAGCACAGATAAAACGAGGAAAAACAGTAAGCAAACATGGAAACCCAGAACAGAAAACAAAGCGTTAAAGATATGAAAATGAAAAACTGACAACAATGGGACAGTCAGGAAACAAAACACGACTAAGGGGACTTAAAGGTAAACAAGTACATGAACGATACAGATAATAATACTAATAAAACAGGGAAATTACAGCAGAACTAACGTAATACGTAATAACGGCACATTTCAAGACATGAAAGACAACTCGAACAACAGAACAGAAAAATAAGCGATATGGACAGCAAAATAAGCGATAAGGACAGCAAAATACTTCACGTTCGACCGAACAATTTACAAATAATTATTACATACATGAACATAAACTTAACTAAATCGATAGGTATTGTGATTTTTGTGATTTCCGCATGTTCACTTTGATAGTGTACAAAAACTTTGTTGTTTTGGTGTTTGAATAAAATATGTCAATTCTGACCAATTTTAACACTGGTTACATAAAAATATGCCATTAGCGTGAAATAAGTGATGACGCGGAATTAGTGATGTTGAGTATACCAGTTAAGTCTTTTTATTCATTTTTATTTGTAACACGTGTGTTTTAAATTTTGCTACTTTTATTTTTACTTTGCAATTGTTGAATTTTTATTCAGTCTGCTAAACGTTCAACATTTCTTTGTTCGACTGAAATACGTTTTCTTGATATATACATATTGCTTTTACCAGCCTCTATATACATTATTGTAAATGCAAATGATATTTTGTACATAAATTTTATTGTCCCCCCCCCCCCAACAATCCAATTTAATAACAATGACGTTACAAAGATCTACCAGCAGAGAAAGAAAAAAAGTAATAACAGTTTATAATAATTACTACTTTTCAGATCTTTGCGACTTTTACCGTGTCTATACATATATGGTTTTCATATTTCCCAGGAAATAATTAAGGATTTGACTGAACACCCAAATCCTTTCACTATGTGACATACATTTCGTATTTAAATAGTAAAATAGGGCACGTGCGGTTTTTCGTGACGCATACCCTGGGCAAAGACTACATGAAGTTGTGAATTCAATGACGCTGTACCATTCTATTCGGAAATGTATTTTAGATACACGGAATGCCAATATATTGGCTTATGAAATTCGGAATCAACATGTTTACGACTTCATATAATGTAAAATTGTTAATTAACGTTAACAAAGAGACTATTTGCTTTGACGTTGGCTACTGTAGTAAATATATAAAGTCAGGTTCAAAAAAAGCGCTTGTTTTGATAGAAAAAGGATTGGAGAAATCGACATTTGTACACTTTTTTTATTTATAAAATCTAATTTATTGAATCATTCATCTGTAAAAGCTCAAATTAATAATGTAAAGCGTATATTAAATTGAATACTTCGCTATATGAATTCAACTTTTGACAGTCCAGTTGCCTGGATCTACATTAAATTTATTCGCATTGCAACACTTAACATTATTGCTAAATTACAAGAAATTCGGTAAAGAACTTGTTTCTAAGTGAACCAAACATATCTATCTGGTCGTATGTTTCCAGTTTGCATGTTCGGGTCAATATTTGATTTAACGGACGCTCTAAAGTACGTATCGTTTGATTGGATGGTGATTGTGACGCACTCTGACGACATAATTTTTGGCGCCACTGACAATTTCTTCAAATCATCAATAAACATCCCGTTTACAGATTTGTACTTCTGAAAAAGAAAAAAGATTATCATGTTGAGTTTAAAGACATTGTGAAAATAATATGAACTGATAAACCTGTAAAGATTTACTCTTTACCCCCCGCGGGCTGCTCAGAAATGTGTCATAAGGTCCGGTGCCAATCTGGGATCCGTCTTATCGTACGATAAAAACGGACGTGCGGTCGTTGATAAGACGAGCCCCAGGTGCTGGATCATACGGGTCCTGGATCATACGACCAGTGTATTAAGAGGCATATATCTTACCCATCAGCAGCCCAATCAAAGACTAGTAACATATCCCGTTCCCCCGGTCTCGTTCTATTTATAGATGTCAAATGACCAGACCAAATTCAGAAGGAGTCTTAACGTGATCACATTCTAACCAACAATGTCTTTCTATATATGATTTACAAAAATGCACTTTAAGAATAGGCGGGGGCAAAGGGAAACACTCCCTTAAATTCATTTAGGATGTAACCTGTGACGTAATTAACCTATTCAGATAGTCAAAAACCATCAGGGAATGGCAAAATAACTGATATATTTAGTACAGACTTACATGTTCTGCTTCAAACACCTCAAACAGTGCTCTATAAATATGCCACTTGTTAAAGTGAAATGTTTTATCATCCATGTTTCTTTTAAACTGGACCAATCCAAACCTGTAACAACACAAAAAAGGTATCTTAAACGGTTATTAAAATTAGGCGTTTTTAAATTCTTAAGTTTTTAACATAATGTCAAAAGTTTTAAATCGTGTTTTACTCCTTTGGAAGTTTTTCCAGCAAGCGCTTTGGTTTCAGTTGTTATTGAATAGGTATTTATAACATATATAACAATTATAATTAAAATCAATACAAAATTGTTCCAAGAACAACTTATCTATTATATTACATATTTACATAATTATTACATTATGATTATTTAAGATTAGAACCCGCACCGCTTTCAAAGTTATGAAAGCTCACCGATGATTGGGTGTGCGAAAGGTCACCAGAAATGACTTCTTATTTGGTCACGGTCAGATCTAAAAGCGGGGCGTTACTTTAGAGCCGATTTTATTCAGATTGTATGACGAGTTTGGTAAAATAAATGGTGTCTAAGGGAGATAACTTGTGCTTACAAGAAATGTAATCATAATAACTATTAACTTATGTTAGCAAATAATCTGAAAGTAAACCTAAATTAAATGTAAACTAGAACTCCGCGAGTCGGATGTGTCGCCTTGTGAACAATATAGTTTATGAGAAATGGCCAGGACAAAAATGAAATACGAAAACTAACAAAGGGCAATAACTCAAAAAATAATAAGTGCAGAGCAGCAGTTTCTATGCAGTGCAGTTCTTATCAATAAGATCTATCATTCTATGAAGTTTTAAGTCCATATCTTTTATAATTTATGAGAAATGACCTGGACAAAAATAAAGTATGAAACTATATAAAGGGTGAAAACTCAAAAATAAGAAATGCAGAGTACCGGTCCTTGTACACTGCAATTATTTTTAATGAGATCTATCATCCTATGAAGTTTCATGTGTATAGCTTTCATACTTGAGGAGAAATGACCTGGACAAAAATAAAGTATGAAAATTAACAAAGGGCAATAACTCAAAAAATAAGAAATGCAGAGTACCGGTTCTTGGGCACTGCACTTTTTCTTAATGAGATCTATCATCCTATGAAGTTTCAAGTCCATAGCTTTTATACTTTCGGGGAGATGGCCCGGACAAAAATACAGTATGAAAATTAACAAAGGGCAATAACTCAAAAAATAAGAAATGCAGAGTACTTGTTCTTGTGCACTGCACTTCTTCTTAATGAGATCTATCATCCTATGAAGTTTCAAGTCCATAGCTTTTATACATTAGTAGAAATGCCCGGACAAAAATAAAGTATGAAAATTAACAAAGGGAAATAACTAAAAAAATAGGAAGTGCAGAGTACCGATTCTTGTGCACTGTACTTATTCTTAATGATATCTATCATTGTATGAAGTTTGAAGTCCATAGCTTTTATAGTTGAAGAGAAATGGCCCGGACAAAATTAAAGTATGAAAATTTACAAAGGGCAATAACTCAAAAATTAAGAAGTGCAGAGTACCGGTCCTTGTGCACTGCACTTCGTGTTATTGAAAGAAGCATGCATACCAAAAGAATTCAATCCAACTTAAAGTGACTGAGTTATGCTCCGGACAAGCTTTAGGGGACGCCGACGCCGAAACGACGCCGACAACGACACCGACGCCGCCGACAAAAGTAATCCCTATATGTCACCTTTTCAAGGCGACACAAAAATAAGTCTTTTAAAATATATATTCTCTACGGTTCTTGTTCGTAATTACCTGCTTGGCAAATGTAGATTCACAGCATACATTGGTTGCCATGACCACCATTCAGTTGGAGCATCTTCATCCTTTAAAGATACAACATTATCCTGATTCCAATCAGTATCTTTGACATGGAAAAAGTTTATCATGAATAGAGCAACTTTTTAAATAGCATTACACCTACTTTATGTTAAATTTCGAAAAGAACTAAAGCTGCTTCTTATTGTTTCAGGGCTAGCTAGATATAATCTCTTCTACACTATAAAATTGCAATAGCCTATTTCAATGAATTATAAAGGCCTTATTTTTCTTTCCTTTATAAATATTTTGATAAGTGCTCTTCAGAGCTGGGAATCTTACTCCGTCGTACCCTTCATTTCTAAACAAAAGACGTCATCTAAGAAAGCAAATGTCTAATAGTCGCAAATTCTTGTCCGAATCGAATTTCCAATTGATTTTATAAAGTAAATTTGCAAATTTATAAATAATAACACATGTACATCAAAATGAATTAGAATACTTAGGAACGTGTTCAAACATATAAACAGAAAAATTCAGAGACAAAAACATTCCATTTGCTTTCAAAATATTGGCTTTTGTGATACGATGCATTTTTTTCCCATCCCTGTACTTATTTTTAAGAGAGAATGATTATATATTAGTTTCGGTCACAAAATAAGGACTGCTTATGTAGCTTTCATTAGTCTAAATATATGCTAAAATTGATGGAGATCAAGCAGTTTCCAATCAAAACAGAAATCTTGAAATAAATATCTAAATAATCAACTTGGCATTGTATCATAGTTTGAAGACTTTATATTGAAAATGTGTCAGAGTTAAATTATGTATAATGTACCAATACATGCACAGTGCATTAATTAACTGAAGTGCAGGTTTCACAGTCTCTCTAGAGTTATTTATTTTGACGACAGGGAAAGAGATAACAACAGAAAAGTCATAATATTCAGATGCTCGAATATTGGTTACTTTTTGCTGGGGTTTAATATTGTGACGACAGGGAACTTGTTTTTATTTTTGCCTATGATACAAAACACTCGGCCATCTGATTTTGCTCGGTGGCTACGCCACCCCCGTACAAATCAGATAGCCTCGTGTTTCGATGTTCTTTCTATTACTTTCACATCGTGTGCGGCTTAATATTCATGTAAAAACTAAGTCATAACATTTGAAATTTCTTTTTTTACCTTCCTGTATTGCCCGTTCACTATTTTGAATTTGTATTCTGGCCTGAAAAGGAAATGTCAGTCTACGAGTGCTGCAGTTCTCTAAAGTTTATTTAAACAATAATTGAAAAATAACTAATAAAATGCCACTTATCTAATGTCACTTATATATCTGAGTAACTGAATGTTTTAATTATAGGTGATTACTTGACATTTTAAGACTGGTTTTAAGTTTAAACAAGGGTGTATATGTAACCGATATTTCAATACAAAGGCGATATCTCACCGACCTGACCAGTACTTTTTGATTTGTATATTATTTTACTATCTGTTTAAATTTTCGTCCACATTTTACAAAGAAATAATAGATTTTACACAAAATGATTCCTTCACAAAGATATTACCTTGCGAATATAAAGAACCAGGCTTCATCAGCATCCGGGGTAGGCTTGTTGTTAGGTCTGTCAGTGTGTTGAGCCAGTCGAGCGAACGAGAACGACCATTCTGCACTCCAGTACGATCCTTTAAGAACAATTTTTATAAACCCAGTACTTTATTTTGAAATGGTTTCAGCTTATTTAAAAATCAGATTTTGATATCCCCAATATTTGATAATGGACAGTTGCAAACATTGGAAACTGGACTTATCCATGTGAGAAATTCGGCAGGGTTAGGGCTGATTAGTAGAATTTAATTTTCGAAACACACTACAATAATGATAATAATAATAATAATAATAATAATAATAATAATAATAATAATAATAATAATAATAATAATAATAATAATAAGATTAATAATAATAATAATAATAATAATAATTAATAATAATGATGATGATGATAATTTGGTTGAAGACCGAAATGACATATGATATGTACACGTGTTAATATTATGATTTTAAGCGATTTCTTACTATTTTGTTAAAAAATCCAAGCAAATATATAATCAACCAGAAATGAAATCGACTTTATAAATTTACATTTTATGTGGAGAAAAATGAAATGTGCTACTTAAGACTCAAACCTTTGCCGAAATCAACTTAATAAATGTACATATACTCGTATTTGGGAAAAATGGAATGGATTATTTAAAAAAAAAAGAGAAAAAAAAAGACTCGAACCTTTGCCATTCGGATCATTAATAATCCCGTCTGTGTGTGTACCCTTGTGCATGTCACTGTCCCAGCTGCTGACGGCCACCGAGGTTCTGTCACAAATATCACTTTTGTCCATGTATGCCTTTTTCAGCATAAGATCCCAGGTCACGTTACGTACGCTGATTTGCATCTCCTTGTAGCTGTGGTAAAAAGAACATCAGAATTGACATTACGCCGCCTGTCAATCAAGCTGGCAGGGGTCTTACAGATAAGCCAATCGGCAATCGTTATCAGTTTCACGCTAAGATGTCTGCAAAATCCGCCATTTTCCTTAGACAAACTATTTGTATAAGACAATGGTGCAGCAGTATTTATACTGAAATTATTTTGATTTTCGGTCAATCTAAAGCTATTTAATCGGTATATCAAAGTTACCAACTATCCTGACATATTAACAGATAGAGTCAGTTAGTTCATTTTAAAAAAAAATAATATCAGTAACTTTGTATATTACGAAAGCCTAATAGTGTCAAATGAAATAAAAAATAAAAATGCAAAGGCGTTATAACGCGAATAAAGGCATTATTACGCGAATCAAAAGGCGTAAGAACGCGAATAAAGGCGTAGCAACGCGAATCAAAAGGCGTAAGAACGCGAATAAAGGCGTTATAACGCGAATCAAAAGGCGTAGTAACGCCTTTATTCGCGTTATAACGCGAATCAAAAGGCGTAGTAACGCGAATAAAGGCGTTATAACGCGAATAAAAAGGCGTAATAACGCGAATAAAGGCGTAATAACGCGAATCAAAAGGCGAAGTAACGCGAATAAAGGCGTAGTAACGCGAACCAAAAGGCGTAATAACGCAAATTTAAACACATTATAATGCCAATTTAATACCATATTTATACAAATCAAATTCGCGAGAAAGGAAGACCAATATTGATCTGAATTTATTGCTCAAGATATAAAACTCGTATACAATAATACAATATACATTTACAATAACTTTCATTCTATTTGCACAGTAATTATGCAAACTATTTGTCATAAACTAATAAAGACTCTTTAATATTTGCCAATATAAGATGACTTGGTGACTTATAGGTTATAAAGTATTACCTCCTTCAAATAACAATCCTCCTACGAAGTTTGAATATTGTGGGCCAAATGGAACTTAAGTTATGCTCCCGAAACCAAATTGCTTACGGACGGACGGACGGACGGACAGACAGACAGACAGACAGACAGACGGACGGACGCACGTTCCAACATTTTGGGTTTAGGGGCTATTTACTTTGTTATTTTCTTTGTTCTCTTAAGGGCTACTAGCCCATAAACCCTTTGATCACGGATTGAACCTATTGTTCTCTTTTGTTCTCTTTACTGTTATATAGCCCCTAAACCCAAAATGTTTGCTCGGACGTACGGACGCCAGGGGGTATAACATAATATGCCCGAAATTCTTTCGGGCATATAATAAAACGTACATCTAGATCAATTCATTTAAATCAACATTGTTCTTCCTTCCATACATTAATAGGCCACTGTTTGGAATTTATATGGTATTAAATTAGCGTTATAACGCCTTTTGTTTTGCGTTATTACGCCTTTTGGTTCGCGTTATTACGCCTTTTGATTCGCGTTATAACGCATTTATTCGCGTTAGTACGCCTTTTGATTCGCGTAATTACGCCTATTGTTTTGCGTTATTACGCGAATAAAGGCGTTATTACGCTTTTCAATTTGCGTTATTACGCCTTTTGGTTCGCATTACTACGCCTTTGTTCGCGTTATAACGCCTTTGTTTCGCGTTATAACGCCTTTATTCGCGTTGCTACGCATTTTTTCGCGTTATTACGCCTTTTGATTCGCGTTATTACGCCTTTTGATTCGCGTTATTACGCCTTTTGATTCGCGTTATAACGCCTTTATTCGCGTTGCTGCGCCTTTTTTCGCGTAATTACGCCTTTTGATTTGCGTAATAACGCCTTTATTCGCGTTGTTACGCCTTTTTTCGCGTTGCTACGCCTTTCGATTCGCGTTGCTTCGCCTTTTGGTTCGCGTTACTACGCCTTTATTCGCGTTATAACGCCTTTGTTTCGCGTTATAACGCCTTTATTCGCGTTGCTACGCCTTTTTTCGCTTAATTACGCCTTTTGATTTGCGTAATTACGCCTTTTGATTCGCGTTATTACGCCTTTTGATTCGCGTTATTATGCCTTTTGATTCGCGTTATTACGCCTTTTGATTCGCGTTATAACGCCTTTATTCGCGTTGCTACGCCTTTTTTCGCGTTGCTACGCCTTTCGATTCGCGTTGCTACGCCTTTTGGTTCGCGTGACTACGCCTTTATTCGCGTTATAACGCCTTTGTTTCGCGTTATAACGCCTTTATTCGCGTTGCTACGCCTTTTGATTCGCGTAATTACGCCTTTTGATTCGCGTAATTACGCCTTTTGATTCGCGTTATTACGCCTTTTGATTCGCGTTACTACGCCTTTATTCGCGTTATTACGCCTTTGTTTCGCGTTATAACGCCTTTATTCGCGTTGCTACGCCTTTTTTCGCGTAATTACGCCTTTTGATTCGCGTAATTACGCCTTTTGATGCGCGTTTCTACGCCTTTATTCGCGTTATAACGCCTTTGCATTTTTATTTTTTATTTCATTTGACACTATTAGGCTTTCGTAGTATATACAAAATGTATGAAGATAATAAGTTATATAGCAGGTACAAATGCAGAGACATATATATTATTTAGATGTTGTCTTCATCTCTGACGAAGGTTGAAATAGAGAGAAATAAAGAATCCCTAAAGAACGTACAAAACGACAAAATTGAAAATGTTGCAGGCTCGGTTTGATTGAGTCTGTTCATGGAAGGTAAAGGAATGTGCAAGTAACCGTCCGCGCCCCCTAGCACCGGCTCATTTAACGTGACCTGGTAAAATTTTGAATTTTGAAACATCCGCAGATGTGTTCATATGGTGGTTATCATGGAACCTTTAATGTGACACATAAGTGCCATTCCATGAAAAATGCGTTTGCCCTAAACGAGAAAACATTGGGCAGAACTAAATAAAATGGAATTTTGAATGGCGATCAGAGGTTATGAAGCCTGGCTATACCACAATGCATTAAACAAGGAAAAAATTACACAAATACTCTATTCCTTCCTTTATTACAATAATGTCTATTCATAATAACATAATATATATTATAAGGTCTGATATGACATTTTTGTTCGTTCTTAACATAGTGTCAGTAAATGCTGCAGTAGAAAAATAAAATGCGAGAATATGCTATGAATATTTTATGTGAAATTATCCTACCTAAATATTTCTATTAAAGCTCAATGCATTAAGATTAAATATTTCGATACATCTACTTCAATGACATCATACCTGATCACGGTTTTATTTTAAAACCGTGGTCTCACCGTCTGGTGTATGCGAAACTTATTTTGAAGTGAATAATATTACGTTTTATCACGAAACATATCTAATGTACACATATACATATAATCATATATCATACTACAAAGTTACGCAAGGGCAATTTTCTCATTCAATTTTAACAATTTATGCACAAATGCATTATATATTAATGATTTCGCACATAAAACCCTAAAAACATTTGTAAATGTTACTGTGTTTTAATATAATTTTACTATTTATATGTCCCGCTACTTAAATTTTAACTATCTTTGAATTTGTAAACTAAAATGATATTTTGTCAGTAACATCTTCCTCGAAGTCAACGAGAAATATAACAAGATCTTTGCCAAACGTTTTATTCATAATTAATGCATGAATGAAGTTATTTGTTACTTTTTTTAAATACCATTATACATTGAACTATTCAAGAAAAGTATTAAACTTTTATACCAAATTATATAAGGAAAATTCATTAATAACTTTAGTGGCACAATAGTTTCCTGTAAACGTCGGTACCGTGTTTTGTCTAAGGTTCTGAATGACCGGGTCACGTGAATCAGTGGGCGAAGCAATCTCTTCTCTGGCGTAATGTCAATTTGTTTCAATGTTTGAAATTATTTTTGTCCAATAAGGTTGCAATATGTGTGTGATATGAATCGTAATGCATTTACTTTGGTTAATCGGCTAACTATATATCAATCTAGTAAATCGACCATTTATATAAATAATTCCAAACATTAATCAAATAGTTAGTGTAGATAAGTAAGCATTTACCAGATCAATTTAATATAATAAATGCTTACCTATAAACACTAACCTAAGCTGATAAGTCGCAAATTTTTCGACCAGTTTCCGTCCGGCATCTACATCGGATACGCTTAAACAGATAATCTTCAAGGTGTCCAGAATAATAATAATAATAATAATAATAATAATAACTAATGGAGAGGCACCTGACCCCCTCCAACCTCACCTAAAGCTGAAAATCACATTATGACATGTAACTTTATAAAGCAAACCATACTTATGATGATAATGATAAAATTGGGCAATAAAAAAACTTCTATTTCTTGTCATCCATGGTATTTTGCTGACTGGTGGATATATATGGTCCCTCATCAAAAACAGCAGAATTATATGAAAAGTGCAGACTCGGTTTGATTGAGTCTGTACATGAGAGATAATGAAAATATGAAACATCCCTCATGTCTTCTAGCACCGGCTGAGCGGTACTCAATTTTCAACACTTAATAGTGCTGGACTCAATGATAATTGGAGTTATGTAATGAGGAATTATTGGTCGCATCTACTGAAGCGTACATCCAATAAGGGACTTTTAGGTTTCAATGTCACTCATTTGCAATAAACTTTGATAAAATAAACCTGCATGGTTGGTTACTGGTAAAAACGTGGCTTACATACTTGCCCCGGTGCCCAACCGTGTTACCGCCTCGAAATAATCACGCTTACGACACATGGCAATAAGAGTAGATGTCACTGATTTAATTTTCGCTGCGTTAATAGAAAAACATTTCAAACTTTTGATAATTTCATTTTATTGTCATGTCTTTGTTATAGAAATGAATATTTGATAATGTCGATCTGCTGTTTTAATACTTACTTATGCATACTTCCATCGGGGACAGCGTACACCTATGAAAACAAATGAAGTTTCTGGTGCCGTTATATGTCGCAACGACGTCAAATGCCGCACTTGTCGTTAAATGCCGCGCTATTGCCGCTGAATATCCCAATAGCCGCTAAATGTCTCAAAATATTTTACATTTAAAAATGTCGCAATGATGACATTAAATGTTACACTAATTTACCTTATCGTTGAATGTCATTACACAACCGTTTAATGTCGCAAAAACTCAAAATTTTCCGAGAACTTTAAATATATTTGCTCTTTTTAAAATTTCATAGCGAGCTGAAAAGGGCGAAAACTGATACCACGCTTGGTTTGCGTTACAATTGTTGTATATAAACCAATTCAAGGCATATTTGTGAAAATTTCTTTTTTCATAATCCTAAAATACGTTACACGAACAATGTAAGGTCATAAAGCGACTTTCCAGCTTTACTTGCGAAGGAAGACCTCTAGTGCCTCTCTCTGTGCACGAACGGAAACCTGAGTAGAACCACCGACGTTCTGGGTAGCTTCCTCACATGAAAGAAACCTATGTCACTGCGGTGAAGGAGCAAGTTGATGGACACTATATAGTCTAGTTATAAACTTTCAAAAGTACACAAAGTTCTTTACTTAAATCATGCACATACTGATACGTTTCTATTGTTTTAGGAATGTTTAAAATAATTCATGAAAAATGTCCCCATTTTAGACCAAAAACTTAAAAAACAACATTTTTTTTTATCTTGAATCGGCAGGTGGATCGGGACATTCCGTTATGTCTTATAGTTACTATACATACAAATATACAAGCATTTTCCCAATGTTTACTGTAATTTAATCATGGATATACATATTGCGATATTAAACGGTAACGTTGGGCCATGTAACGGCAAGGGAAAATCGTGCGACATTTAATGTTACTTTGCGACATTTATCGCCAGAAGATTTTGTGTCATTCAATGGAGGTTGCGACATTCAGTGGCAATGGTGCGACATCTAGCGGCGTTGCGACATATAACGGCGCCACAGAAAAAAAAAAGAAATTACTTTTTAGAATTGTACAAAAATCAGTTGAAAATGATGGATGTTCACATGAACATAACATAAACCAGTCATTTTGCTTAAACTTATCAAACACGTAAGTTTTTTACTTAAGTTTATTTTCGCCTATAGCAAATAAAAAATGTAACATACATATGTACGTAACATTGATATAGAAATAAAAAAATGTTTATAGATGTTATGCTTATAAGAAATTTCTACAATTAAATCTTTACAACAAAACTCAAGCACATAAATACATATGTAATTCACATATTCCAACATATTATATTGTACACATATTACTTTTCAAATCTACCAATGTCACCGCGAAGATAGCGAAAATTTGAAGCCCGCGAATATTTCTACACATACAGTACCTACCTCGAATGCATTTTCCCGCCAAACTGTTAAGAAAAATCAAATAAAAATAGAATAGAAATTTAAACTGGTTAGTGTTACTATTTCAGTTCTAAAAGTAGTATTTTTCCTAGCCAATACATGTATTATTGATAAAAAATATTTTAAAATGAAGAGAAAATTACTTATTAAAAATAACGCTTATGAACAGAATGCAATGCACAATGTACAGTATAGAAATGTAATATAAGCACGCCGTCATAAATGTAATACTCCTTCTTTTACTTTATACAGAATTTTTTGATTCGAATGTTTAGAATTTTACAAGCTTAAAGACACATTCTCGAGTCCATTCCTGGCACCAACCAGTACTAAGCAATGAGTGTAAAGTTTCTTGTTCAAGGCAGCAAAGCTTGCCCAAGCTAACGGGATTTAAACCCACACTTACTCGTTAGAATATTAGTCGACGCCAATTATTGCTTTTTCTATTCCAATCTTCTCATTTGACAATACACTCAAACTTGGAGTAAATTAACTTATTCAAACTTAAAGCAAACATGTTGTAAGACAAATATAACAAGATATTCCTTATTAAATATTATTTCCATCACCGGAAATAGAAACTCATCATATAATGTCTCATTGACTTTCGTTCAAAATTGACATTTACGGAGTTTGCCGGAAATGTCCGGAAAGCTGAGAGTGCGACCAAGAAGCATTAAAATTACCTTGCGACTCGTCCACAGTATAAGTACCCCAGAAGTCTGTCTCGTCCATTAGTGCACCCACATAGAGTCGGTCATCGTCCCAGCGAACCTTAAATCTTGTGTTGAAATAGGGCGTAGGATAATCCGGACCTCGAATATCTGAACAGACGGACAGGTATAAGAAAAAGTAACAATTGTATAATATTACTTTCATTAATTATAATTTATGCTTTTACGACATCATAAATTATACAAGACGTTTTACGGTATTTTGGCAAACAGATATTAAATTGTGTCCTATGGTAGTTCAGGTGGCCAAGCGTTATAATTATTTTTAAGTTTAGAATATCATTTTGAATAAATAGTTCGTTGACCTCTTGTTCAAAGTTCACCATCACACGTGTATATGTGACGTTTGTCATCCGAAACACCCTTAATAATGAAAGTTGACCTTTTACATCCGGAAAGAAAACACTGCCTTCAGGCATTACAGCCAACTGAGCCTCACAATATTCACAAAAATCCGGGATTTTTTTTCCTGAGTGGGTAGCAAAATCACGGCATATGGAAATGAATATTTCAAAGGCATGAAAGGGGGATGACTATTTATTAGTTCGCAAGTGTGGGGTCATGTGACAAAATTTTGATGACTTTCACTAGTTTTTGCCCGATTTTCGCTACCCCCGCCCCACGGTAAATTGATACCCTAATTTAAGATGGGTTCTACATTATTGTCAAATCCCCCGCCTCCTACCACCCTCTAGATCCGCATTCCAATATCGGAACATCTCGGCTATTATTCATTTCCGAAATTTGACTGGAATGTCCGAGAACAAACGATTGACAGTATGAAGTGTCCTGTAAAGCCGGATAAGGCATGTGTGTGGGTTGGTACAGCAAGCAATACGAGGACATTAAGTTCAGCATTGTGATACCTCATATTGTGAATTATTCTTTATTTAATTTAAATAAGGGATGAGGACAGGGCTTTACGTCAACCAAACTTTTATTTACAAAGATCTTACCCATGAATGTCTCTGAATATGGAATTTCTGTCCATGCTTCGTCATCCAATTTTCCATCAATATTCACTGTTTTTCCGTTCAAATGGTACGCCAGAAATGTTCTTGGAAGATCTTCTGTATTGCAAGACGATGGCGACATGCACGACTCCTTCACACAGTTGTCTAAATAACTGAAAAGTGTAAAATCACCGGAAAGTTTAACGTCTATAAATCCTTTGTTTCGGGCGGCCGAACCTAACAAACCTTACTCAGCCGACCCTTATGGCAACAGCAGGTGTCAAGTGCTGTGTGGCAGCTGTAAAAAGTTGCCCCGTGGAACCAACCAGTACTAAGCAATGAGTGTAAAGTTTCGTAAGGAAACAACGACTTGCCCCTGACTATTAGCCGACCCTTATGTTCATAGTGACAGATCAATGAGTAAAAGCATGCCTCGTCTCGCTGTTATGATGACTTGTTTAAAACAACAACAACAACAACAGCAACAACAACAGCAATACCCCACAAAACAACAACAACAACAACAACAACAACAAAACAAACAAACAAACAAAACAAAATGAAATAATAGCAACAAAAAACACAACAACAACAAACCTTTATAAAGAATGTTACCCGAAACATAGAAAATTATTTTTTGCCTAACCTCAAATCTATCAATAGTACGCTTGAGGGAAGTTTTCAAAACAATGTGGGAGACCATACAACAATACATGTTTAATGTAAAACTATAATACACATTGTTTTTTAAAATGAAAATTATTTACTATTTATATATGATTTACTGTTTATGATCCGTATTTAAATTTTTGTTGTAACAAATATACATGTATACATGTAAACGAATTGCAAAATGTCTCAGTTGGTCCGTGAAATTTACAGCTATTGTAAATTGTTATTTATTTACTTTACGTACATGTATATTTAAACATTGAGCCACTGTTTCTTAAGGAAACACTTCAGAAAAATTGTTTATCGGCAGTCAACTTCACAGTTCGTAAAATGATATGATTGGGTGCCACTGTGCCACTAACGTGCTTAAATGTATGGTGGCTGATTTGGTACACTTTTGTGCGTCGCGTTGGCGCTAGCGACAACACGACAACGCGCTATACGGCGCGTTGTCGCCCTGTCTCTAGCGTGGCACGCCAAACGGCGTGTTGTCGTGCGGCGTGTTGTAGCGATGTCACTTTGTCGCTTGCTTCAAATTGAAGGATTCGCTTATAAGCCAAGCGACAAGGCGACATCGCGAGAACGTGCCGCATGACAACGTGCCGTTTGGCGTGCCGCACTAGAGACAGGACGACAGACGACATCGCGCCGTTAGACGCTTTGTCGTGTTGTCGCTAGCGACAGGACGACAAGACGAAAGTCCGACAACGCGCCGTTTGGCGCTTTGTCGTGTTGTCGCTAGCGCCAACTAGACGTACCAAATCAGCCACCATATAAATGTCATACGTGTTGCCTAACTTCATGTATGTAGCTCACCACGCACTATTATATTATCATTTTGGTAACAAACTTGATGTAACCAATAAACTGTTTGTCATTTTAAAGCCGGGCAATTCCATAACAAAACAAAATAAGGGTTATAAATTGAGAATGTTAGAGATCTATTGCGAAGCATTATAGCCGCAGGTCAGATTTCCGTTCTGTTATATACCCTTTCGCATTTTAGTAAACATAATAACATCATCACCAGCAATGCCATTACGGTTTACACACGTTTGCAAATCTTTTTGGCGTCGCTGTATCTAATTAAAACAGTTCAAAGTAGCAGAATATATACATATTCACAAATATATAATGAATTAGTTCCCAAACTATTTATCTACGACGACAACAACAACAACAAAAACAACAACAAAAAAACAATAACAACAAATTTCATGAATTTTATTATTAAACTTGAATTAAACTAGCGTCTTTTGCCTTGCTTCTATTATTTCTCTATTATTTACCTAAATACATGTCATACAGGCTCATTTCTGTATTTTAACACAGTTTTACGAGACAGGTCATTTGTACTGCATTACATTTTATCATAAATATAGTGACTTAATTTTCAATAGGGCCATACAGACCCTCCTTTCTCTCAAACTATTGTAAGTAAAGAAATACTTTTACTTTTAATTCTTGTACTTTTACCTCATTACAGCTTAAAGGAATATTAGTTAAGACACAGCGGTTGCACCACATTTATTTTTTTTAAGATTGCTACAGGTCTCCAACCATGTGCTAGACTTTATTTTAATACATCAGTTTATCATTAAGTCATCACGTTTTAATTAATCTTATTCATAAATTTGAAATTAAAAAAAAACCCAAAAAACAAACAAAACACATCGAATTCATTCCTACCTTTCCCTGTATTGTTTCCATGGTGCAGTAAATTTAGCGCCACATCCGGCGTTCAGCTTCTGCGAGTCACCTTGACCTTCTGTGTCGTCTGCTTTCTCGATGGCAAAGTGTCCAATAATAATTCCTAAAGCAAGTGTAACAGCACATGCGACCACAGCAATTACTATAATTACTCTGGACTGCATTTTCATTGCATTCAATGTGCAGATTTAAAATGTATTGTTAGTAAGTTAAAATCCTTCTTCTATGTGCAAAATTGTACACAAAATAGTATGAACGTATTTGTGTTGCAAGTTTAAACCGTAGTTTACCCGTCAACAATAGTGTATAAATCGGACAGCGTTTCTTTAAATATTGCCGCTTCGTTAAGCATAATTATCTTACGTTCAAAATGAAATACCGAAGGGTTTAATATATTCACTTAATGCATGAACACTCGCTGGAAAAAAAGATGAATATTTAACGATTAATCTTTGTCTTTAAATTAAACTTTAAGACAGGTTTGTTAACTTCACTTTTCTATTTTTTTATAGATATTCAGATACACATGGTAAATAAACATACGAAATGAAAATGACCTTTGCAAACTTAAGACAAATTTTTATAAATTGCGGTTTATGTAATATATGGGATACACAAAATTTTGGAAACGAGAAGTGGTTGAAATTAGCAATTAGACAGAAACTAAAAGATGTTTTTCTAAATGATTGGTATTCCGTTATTCAAAACTCCAGCAAAAGTACATTCTACAGAATATTCAAAAAAGAATTTAAATTCGAAAAATACCTTTTATCAACTCCTAAACCTTTTCTTCGTTACATGATAAAATTTCGTACACGTAACCATAGATTACCAATAGAAACCGGAAATTGGGCCCGAATACCAATATCAAAGAACATGTATTTCTCTATTATTTACCTAAATACATGTCATACAGGCTCATTTTGCTGTATTTTAACACAGTTTTACGAGACAGGTCATTTGTACTGCATTACATTTTATCAAACTAATATAGTGACTTAATTTTCAATAGGGCCATACAGACCCTCCTTTCTCTCAAACTATTGTAAGTAAAGAAATACTTTTACTTTTAATTCTTGTACTTTTACCTCATTACAGCTTAAAGGAATATTAGTTAAGACACAGCGGTTGCACCACATTTATTTTTTTTAAGATTGCTACAGGTCTCCAACCATGTGCTAGACTTTATTTTAATACATCAGTTTATCATTAAGTCATCACGTTTTAATTATTCTTATTCATAAATTTGAAATTAAAAAAAAAACAACAAAAAAACAACAAAACACATGGACTTCATTCCTACCTTTCCCTGTATTGTTTCCATGGTGCAGTAAATTTAGCGCCACATCCGGCGTTCAGCTTCTGCGAGTCACCTTGACCTTCTGTGTCGTCTGCTTTCTCGATGGCAAAGTGTCCAATAATAATTCCTAATGCAAGTGTAACAGCACATGCGACCACAGCAATTACTATAATTACTCTGGACTGCATTTTCATTGCATTCAATGTGCAGATTTAAAATGTATTGTTAGTAAGTTAAAATCCTTCTTCTATGTGCAAAATTGTACACAAAATAGTATGAACGTATTTGTGTTGCAAGTTTAAACGTCAACAATAGTGTATAAATCGGACAGCGTTTCTTTAAATATTGCCGCTTCGTTAAGCATTATTATCTTACGTTCAAAATGAAATACCGAAGGGTTTAATATATTCACTTAATGCATGAACACTCGCTGGAAAAAATGATGAATATTTGACGATTAATCTTTGTCTTTCAATTAAACTTTAAGACATGTTTGTTAACTTCACTTTTCTATTTTTTTTAAAAGATATTCAAATGTGAATTCGATGATACACATGGTAAATAAACATACGAAATGAAAATGACTTTTCAAGTAAGGTTAAAAAGAGAGTAACAAACAAACAAACAAACAAACAAACAAACACATTACAATGTATATCCATATACAGGAACAATAGTCAATACTAAAGGTAAAGTCTGTATTATAGTCACCACTGAAAGGTCACCATTCACTATAACACTTTGCTGCATACCAAATACTTCCAATTCTACACTATGCCAGGCGCAGACGAAAAATCGTAACCATTCATTCTAACTACTCGCGGTACGAGCGGCCATTCGGAATGAGTCCACGAGAACATTACTCAATTAACGCTCCGTGGCTCGAACATTCGACCTCGATCGAAGCGACGCCTAACATACAACGGTACGGAAAGCGTTCATAGTGTCAATAGAATGTTGCGCATTATGCAATTTCTGTCATGAGGTGTTACGCATGCTTCAGCAAAGAGAAGTACGGCATATATATTGACATTAAGGCGGCTGGCTCATGTAACAGTCAGGAGAGATCCGCACGTGACAAGATAGCTTCTTTAAAAGAAGCGTGGGAGATGTCTTTTTTTGCAGCTGTGGAATATTTGTTTAATTTTTCAAATGGCGGGAAAATAATAATTTCGGATTGGTCGAATTGCATCTGCGAACAATAGCAACATATCAGCTATTTCCTAATTTATACAGTTTAAAGGAATCACTGTTCGTAGTGTTAATGATAAATATAAATGTAAATGATATTACCACCTTGTAAACTGGTTTTAATTATTTAGACTTTCAATGAGATTTATTAACTTCAATGATACGCAAAAATGGATGCCGCCAGCAATTATTCTCAACACCGTCCAATAAGCCTTAATAACTAATGCAGTTTTTTATGCATACTCGTTTGTAATTTCGTACCCAGCTGAACACGTGCCTTGCGCAGCATATCGCAATGAACTCGGTTCAGCGCTTTTTGCACAAGAAATCATTGGAAAGACTGAAAGCTCTTCTTTACGACAATATAATTAATTCATTTGGCTGTGCCTCAAGTAACAAGTTCAGGAGAGGCCCGTACGGTGTTTTCCTTAACCCGCTCAATTTTCTCGAAACTCACTGTGACTTATCTGAGAATCACTCCCCTTGGCACTAAGCAATGACTTAAGTTACCATAAACCAATGGGACTTTCTTTTTAGACGTATCTATTTACACTTTCGTAATAGTATTACCCATGGTGACTGATTTGTGCTATTCGTGAGGTCATCGGGCGAAAACAAGAACAAATAAGTCACCATAATTTTTATTCAGCTAAACACATATCCTTCTGCAGCTCATCCAAAGCGAGTCGAAGCAACAAAATATATACACGAATTACTTATTAATTTTAGTTTAAAATGTCTATAGATATGCAACTTACATTTGAGAAAATGACTTAAACATCTTTCCATAGCATGTTTCGTTTTGTTTCTTGTATATAATCGCTGATGTACATTTAAAACTAACCAAGAAATTGTGCGCCATTTAATACGATATGATGTGAACAAGGTCAAAGGACATGTCTAACATGGCTGTACACATTGTAGTTAAAATATAATTTATACTGTTTTACAACTCAATATTTGCATTGTTTGTAGTACAAGAGCTCTTAAATATTCATACTTATTTGCAAAAACATAAGTAGAGATGTTTATATGTAAGATACAAAGTAAAAGGGCAATGCTGGTCGCTTTATAATCATCGATGTCCTTGACCTTAGTGGACCAAAATGGATCAATTATGTTATGTCGTAAAAATCAATCACGCTCTCACCATATTAGAGTAAAATGCACGTACTTTCAAGAAAATAAAAACAAATTAAACAAGAGCACCTAAAAGCGGGACAATATACGCCCCGATGCAACTTTGTTTGAGTTATCAAAAATAAACATTCAATAAGGGAAGAGACCCAATCAAGAAACTTGCCTGAAAAAATGTTTTATCTTAATTATCCTATATGACCTCCAAGTTGTGAATAAAATGAAATGGCAACATCTCGCATGCCCCATAACACACTTATAGTATTCATCTGATTAAAATCAACCACTAATTAACGCTACGCATCAGGCAAGAAGTAACTTTAGTAGGCCTTAAGTCAAGATTGTTACAGTATTAATTTGGAATCAAAGGTCTAACACATATACACACGTATGTCATACGTTAATCAGCTTTGAGGGGGAATATTTTGTATAGACAGCACAATCAGGATTAAATTAATAAACACTTAAAATGCGTTAGTTTCTCAAAGCATTTACTAAAAACAAAATAATAACAACTAAACAAACATGTTCACTTAATGGTATACAATAATGCTACAAAGTCAAATCATATACACATCAACATAAGTAGTTTGCAATTTAGCATATAAGCTTTAAAAATAAATTAGAATATACGTAATTCTGTTTAAACACATTTAATGATATGTATGTTCAATATAATTATTTCTAATCATTTAAATTCCAATGTCAATTTGCTGCTCTTGAATTCCGGCTAGTCTAAGTCTTTCCTGTCGACGCACGTGCAAAATGACGCCACCGGAAGCGGAAGCTAGGAAAGCGCTTGCATAACACAGATAATAACACCAAAAAAGCGTCTGTTTGAATCCGAGATCCGAAGTATTGCGCCAAGAAATAAACCTACAACTGAAAAAGCAACACAATCATTAAAACATGAAGTGAGATATTTTCAAAAAGAAAAGTGACGTAGGTAAACTTTGTACTCACAACCAATGAATGCAGCTTCGAATATATGTTGTTTACATAATTATATTTTAAACAGAAAATGATTCACTAACGTTGAATGCTTTATTAATTTTTTTTAAGTTTCAGAAAAATGCTTTCCAATTCAGATGAATATCTGGTGAACAAAAAACTAATTATTAGTCCACACTTAACTGTATGAATCTTTTAATTTTTACAGAAATTCAAAGGAATTATCTGTTAAAATCAATGTCAAATGTTTTAAAATAGCTAGGTTTGACAGCATATAAGTACAATAAAAGTAGAAGATATCGGATATGGCGTTCCGACTAGACTTACGTGTTAAAAACGATGTAACAGCGGCGGCTGATAAAAGTCGTAGATTATTTTTCCAAAATAAATAAAGAACAACCAGGATTATGAGGGTGACATAGGAAACAACTGATATGGTCAGGAAAACTCTTCCTGTTTGCATCATACCTGAAATATGGAAAAAAATGTTTATAAATATATACTTTAGATCATTATCATCTATTAGGATAAATTTCATGTGAAAAGCTTGTCTGTTGTGAAATGCTACATTGTATTCAAATATCTAATATAATTGTTGATATGTTTTTGCTATATATGTATATCATTTTTAATATGATAAATTATTGATGTGTCTTTGCACACGTATTTTATATTCTGTCTTGAATTCCTCCGTTTCACCGTATAGCGTTCATTTTATTCAGCTAAATAGTTTATGCGTTAATTAAATAATAGTGCATTTGAGAGGCACGTGACACTTAATCTTAACGCAGGACCCAAAAATTATATAATAATGCATTTTAGAGGCATGTAATACAATTTTTTAATGCAGCACCCAAAATATTTAGCGGAATAAAATAAACGTTATATCGCGAAACGGATAATTTAAAACAGGGTAATACATGATTCACGTGTAAAAAGTGCTGTATAACAAATATGGGCACACAACACTTCGGACCTTACAGCATTAAAGTGACCTCCCAGTCAGCCCTAAACATTAACGGGCCTCAGCCGAACACGAACGGACCAAAGACGAACATTGAACGGACCGAAGCCGAAATGTTGTCGGGCAGACTGGTCTGTTACTATAATCCTATGAGGCATCCTGTGTACTATTTTTAAATAAGCTTGTTATTTAATATTTAAAAAAATAGACCGGTGTTTTCCGACTGAAGTAACCAGTAGACAGCTCTGAGAAAATGTTGCATCACTAGTGGAGAATGTTCAGGTACACTTAAAAGTTTAAAATCACGAAAAGAGTTATAAATACCTGTAAGATTTTCATTTGAGATTATTTCACAACCAGTAGCTTCATGACACATTTGCCACAATCCCCAATGCACGGGTTTCTCGTTATTCCAATAAGGTACTGCAAAACTAACAATATTCAGAACCCACCCAGTCAACAAAAACACAACAAGCATCCATATTGACAGCGACCAGTTGTTCATCTTCTTTAACAAACATTTTTCTTGCATTATCAAAATTTCTTTTTTTTTTCAAAAATAAATATTTAAATATTTTATGTCTCCTATATCCGACTGTGTATTTAAAGTGTTTGCAACTTTCCGCAAGTTTTGTTTTTATATATGTTCAAATAATCTTAGTTGAGTTAATAATAGCTTGTTTCTTCGAAACATATCCTATCATATTCATGCAGTTTTTTCTTCAGAGCATTGTGCATTGATTAAGGAAAACCCCACTTTCGATAATGACCAATATTACCGTTTGAAGTAAATAAAAGGATAATCACATCAAAGACTATGCTGTAAATTATTATGTAAACTAACCTAAATGTACATATGTACACATATTGATAAGCTAGTTTGACATTAACTCATTCTAATTGTTTGGAGCACCAAAGATAACGGAAATGACGTCACGGTTGTCTTCATTTGAGTTCAAGTGGCCCGGATGTAATAAGATTCTCTAACTAATCATTTTTGAGTTGTATTTGTCAATAAAATGACTCCGGGTTGCATCACCTTGTCCGGAGTTTAAGTAATTTGTACTTACTATACGCCACACGTCATGTCACAATGAGCACGCGGACTTTTCCGGAAAAATCAAATTGTAACTAATTATACAATTAACACAAAGAACAAACCAAGGGTTATTTTTAATTAATTACATGTACGAGTATTTCATTAGAATATACTCTCACTTAACTGGACAAAACACGGTCCTGATCATTATGTCAAAGGGCACGAATGCTTTTTTATTCTTAAAAGGCCCATCATGCCTCAGAAATGCTTCCATTTTTATTTCTCAAAATCTGTTTATTTTTGGTATTCTTTTTAAGTTTCCAACAAATTACTCATTGGCTAATTATCTGGACCGGCTTTCTTTTCTTCTGTTGCTTTTTAGCAATTATTAGTACATCGTATTTGTATGGAAGTGAAAATACTATTTTGTTTATATTTTGCCACTTTTATTACACATTATTTTACATTTTGCGTTATTCTTGTCAGGTACATGTAACATGCATCTCACATGCTCTAAAACCATTATTTATATGTAATAAAACTCATGTTTGACCTTTCTAAATAAGTAAATATTCAATAATATCTGAGGCATAATGAGCCTTTAAAGTCAAATATGAAAAATGCAACTTTTACTACAACTTTGAGTATAATGTTTTTTTATGAAACCAAGCAAAGTCATTGAACAAAAAGACGAAAAAAAAACAACAAAAACAAATATAACAATAAGCGTATATTAATATTTTTATAACTATTATGAACATTAAATTATGAGTGAACTGCTAATCTTATCTGGCGCATTTTATTATTAAAACAATTTTTGTTGGTATTTACAAGAAAATATTATGTAAGATATATAAGTATACGTCATTCTTGATCCTGGATTTGCTTAAAGTTCACATAAACATTTATACATAAGCAAATTTAACAAACAAAATTTTCCAAGATAAATGTGTCTAGAACAATGGGCAATAGTCATTTGACGCACAACTTTGCAGTGAATTCAACTTATTTCGCAATAAACATGCATGTATATATGAATAAATCGTATACAACAGTATACAAGGTTACAAAAACACTAAAATTCATTGAAATCCTACTCGACACGTTTATTGTTGAAGTAAAAATAAACTTTGATGCCACTTTATTAAAAAAAATTATAGTTTTATTCTAGTGTCTTGCGTAGATATTTTCTTCTACATTGGCAGTTTATCGTATTTCGTCAGCACGCACACGGGTCTAAACTGAAATCATTTTCATCTCTAATTACTATACTACCTGCCCGTGATCCATGTTATAAATTCTGGAATAAAAATAAACAACATTGAAATCTTTAACATACTAAATAATCCATGATGCACGTTTAGTGTATTAAGAAGTAATCATGTTAATCAAGTGAATAAGTACACAGCCTATGGTCATGATGATTATAATTGAAAACGTTTAAAATGTTTGGAATGGGACCACATTTCGGCCCAAAATTAGCCATACATAGCACTGGGAATCCCCTTGGAAAAAATGGTACAAAATTAGTTTCTATCCTCTATTTACATCTCAATATAAAAAAAATAATTACGCTTCATGGTATTTCTTAAACAATATTGGCCATCATGCCATTCGAGGATATGACTGAAAATAACATGACTGGTTGTAAGATTTCAACGTACTGCATCATGCAAAGAACCGACCTGACAAAGTGCAGCTCTTTTATGTTTATAAGAAGCCGTAGCAATATTCAGAAATCGATTTTAAACAGGCTAAGACAATGTCCAAACAATAGGTCTTTATTCTGCGTGCCGTTTTACATGCATGGTTACAGATTTCAAGAATTTAGATTCTATGTCCACCGTTTCAAGACTGTTTCCATTCCAAGAAAGAAGATGATTATATGTTTAAAAATGCTTACCATTATAAGGGATGTATCCATTATGATTTTTATCTGCATCTTTTATCATTTCTTCAATCTCTTTCTCCGTCACACTGACTTTCAGATTCTCCATCATGTACCGGAAGTCGGACACCGTCACCTAAATTGAAAGTACACATTGTCGTTACGAACATTTTGAGGGCGAATATAACATTCCATATACAGATAGAATATAATTTAATTGTATGACCCAAGGGAACTGAAGTGCACATGTATATACAAAAAAGGTCGGTGTCTAGGGGATATGGCCATAAAATGGGTTAACATATCTATGATAAAATGCATTTGCTTACTTTTCTTAATATGCGAAAATAACGCAGTAACATTTAGAAAAGGTATTAATTTGCACAGCTTAAAGATAAATTTGCATTGTCTTCGCTAAATGAAAAGCTAATATCGTAATTCTTTTGTCAAAAAATAGGTTTTATTTTCTTTTGTCAAAAAGAATTTAACTCACTAGGCCTACTATAGACGCTTGCAGAAATCATGGTCACAAAGTTCGCCGAATTTTACATTTTTCATTCATTAACGTATATAAATCGGTGTGAAGAGATGAATTAGAGATCTAAAAGTGCATTTTGGTGGGTGAAATGGTGAGATTTTAGCACTTTATCATTTAAACTCCTTGTTCGGTATATACCGGAATACGGTATTTAGTGTGATGCTCCAAAAGAAATCTAGGAATAAATACCATGCCGTTGTCGTCCTTGTCAAACACACGGAATGCCAATCTTAAGGATTCTTCGCCTTCATATTCCTTTAACTTCTTTGCCATTATTGAGAGGAATTCAGGAAAAGAAAATTCCCCATGACCTGAAATAGTTTGTCATAAAATTTTCATAATTACTGAAAAAAGGTGTGTAAATTGTTAGTTAAATAATCTTTCTATTTCAATAATTTCATTTTTGTCTGACATACGTAAAACCTGCTACGGCACATATATAATTAACTGTACCTCTGTAAATAATAAAATTTCTCCAGCCACCTTTACTTTCTTAACAATTACGAATGGTTTCTGCATTTCTGCATGCCTTAATAAAATTATCTAGTAAAAAAGAAAAACAAACAAACAATTTCAACGGCATTTTACAACAACAACAACAACCACCGTAATCAAACCATTTTTGTGAAGTTATTCAAATAAACAAGAAGTACATTTTGTGTACAGCCAATTGTGACCTCGTCCCTCCTTTAATATCCGCTGGAATACGGGGATAACGTTGGAAATGAGGTTTTTACTTCCATATTGTCCCTGTTTGGACAGTATAAATTATATAAAATATATGCCGTGGTTCGGTATTGGCGATAAAAAGCATGGTATGTCCAGACCGCTGTCCGACATTTCGCAAAGATTTTTTACAATCTAACTGCAGGGCTGGAAATTTATAGAAAATTTGAATAACCAAACATCAAAGTCCCTGCTACTTTTCCCGAGGGTGGGGTCCGGGGTTACAATTAACTAGTAAATTTAAGCGCTTACCATCGGGATCAAACTCGTTAAAGATGTCCGTGAGTTCATTGTCAGATGGCCGGTATCCCATACTCCGCATCACCGCGCCAAGTTCCCTCGAGCTAATCGTCCCGTCCCCGTCACGATCATACATGGCGAAACTCCGCTTGCATTCTGTACGAATAATGGATTTAAAAATATTACCGTATAAATTATAAAATCTGTATACAGATCATAATATAAATAGAAAAGAATTTGAAGAAACTATTCTAGATATGGTAAACGCAGTGAAGGAGAGAGTTTCTACAAAAGTTTATCTTTTTTTTTGGTTGTTATTATATCGTGTATATACATGCATGTTTGATTAAATGAAATATTCTTTAAACTAAACACGGGAGACTTCGTTAAATTGAATGTTTGTAAGTTTGTAAACCTAAAAAAAATATCATTGAAAAAAATGCCCACCTAATATTTCTTCATCTGTTAATTGTTCACCCTAAAAAAGGCAATGCAATGAAGTTAGTATAATTATGGCAGAGCAAAGATGAGAAATAAAAAAAAGTAAAAATACAAACAAAAACCAACCAACCCCCTAACAACAACAACAACAACAACAACAACAAACAAACAAAAAAACAACAACAACAATACAAGTCATATATATATATACGTGTGTGATACATGTATACATTTCTCCCTGTTACCGTGTCCCTGCATACACCTTAATAATCCGAATGAGCATAGACAGACTGAACATGGGCACTTTTCAGTAAAGATGCAACAGTTTATACCAGGAAAAATAAATAAATGAAAGTGCTTTTTATTTTCTTATTACAATTTGCTCGCGGTGCTCATTGGTCATTTATAGAAAGCCTGCGAGGATTTGGCTGAAAAGCAACAACAACACCAACAAAAAAAAAAAAAAAAAAAAAAAAACAAAACACCAACAACAACTAAATTTGTTTACTCACTTCCAAATAAGCCAATCCATAACAACTTACAATGCAAACGGATGGCATTTTTGGAAGAGTCCTTACAGTATCTTGGAAACACTTGTTTTGTGTGTTTTTTTTGTAAACAATCCATTTTTTGTAAACGTGTAGTTATGCTATATAAGTACATGTAATTAAAATCTTACCATCTTTGTCTGTTGTTCTTCTTTAATCCTATTTTATTTCTACACATTAAACAAACATCAAAAAATTTAAAATCGAAACACTGAGAATAGCTAGCACTAAAGTTTTAAAGGTATCAAAAACATAACTACATATTTGTCAAGGTAGTTTAGGATCAAGATTATCTCAATATACAAACACTATAATCAATAGTTGATCAAAAGCAATAAAAAACAATGATTCATTTGTTATAAATCGCTACTGTTCAGATAAGGTCCGATGCAATATGCGGTATATACATTTGAGCCGCGTCACGACAAAACCAACATAATGGGTTTGCGACCAGCATGTATCCAGACCAGCCTGCGCATCCGCGCAGTCTGATCAGGATCCATGCTGTTCGCTTACAAACCCTATTACAAGTAGAGAAACTGATAGCGAACAGCATGGATCCTGATCAGACTGCGTGGATGCGCAGGCTGGTCTGGATCCATGCTGGTCGCAAACCCATTACGTTGGTTTTGTCGTGACGCGGCTCATATGTATTGTATTATCTGACATTGTTTATACCTGAAATAAATCCGTTCAATAAAGTGCGCGTAGACTTTTAAAGACAAAGTCCGTCAAGATCACGTGGTTTCAAGTTTCATTTTTTTTTTTAAATTATGTAGAAATATAGAAATCACATAAAAATATATCAACAATATAAACTAAAACATGAGAGAATACAAATATCAGTATAATACAACATTATGCCAAAACTTAATAAAACTTAAACTTTAATCATTTAATTATGCTTAAATCCAGCCAGGAGAAAATATTGCTGAAACAGTTTTCAATATTGCCGCATAACCTTATAATCAATTCCTCTGCAACTGGCCGATTATTAATCCCAAATGTTTTCTTAACCAGCGACCATAGCCAAATGACCACGAGACTGAGTGTCCGAAATTTTTTGTCACTGAGAATTACGCCTCGCCCGAGAATAAAACCAGAGGCCCTGAATTATAAATCTGAAGCACTCCCTACTGAACTATGCACTATATGTACTATCCACTACATTCAAACCTGTGGTAAAAATCAATGCTGAAATAAAGATCACCATGTGTAAAAGGGCCACTCTGAGACTACGCTTAATTGATAATAAAGAACAAAGTAACCTCCAAATAAATACCATTTGTCTATAAAGGACATATTCGACCTCTCCTTAGGAAAAAATGGCCTTTGTTAACAGGTTTTGCTGTATTTGGTTAGTTATAAGAATTATTGAGCTTGTCTCCAGAACTTTCAGTGCTTTGATTTATATAAACGAATATACATTGTACCTGAATATACATTGTTTACCTTGCCAAATTGTCAATGGATACTTGTAGACTAAAGAGGGGCCAAACTGCACAAATTCGTAACTGCATGCATGTTACCACGCTTTTGTGCTGGGTCGTGTGAATTGAAAGCTACAGATAAAAATAATCATTTTTGAAAGCAGTCTTACAATTATCAATCGGCCATAAAGCAGATGTCGCAATGCAAGACATGTATTATTCAATTAGGTAATTGTATTTTTACATTAAACATATCATTAGTCAATATTGTTTAAATGACACTTGTCAGTAAATATTTTGAATTTGTTATATGATATTGCTATATGCATTTGTCATAAGGCAAGATACCGTTTCTGTGTGTTCTTTCTATTGTGTTCAAGGTCCTTATCCAGTTTGACGGAATGGGCCGAGATGATTCGATTTGTGCCTCTTTTGTAACTTCAATTTTACAACGAACATAATAAAAATATTGTTACTTCATACATCCTCTCTATTAACATTGTGTTTTATTTATAGCATACAACCACGCTCGGCTGTGTTGTTAATCCCAGAGTAAGTTGTCTGCCTCTCGGTCCAGGAATCGAACGTGGGTTCGAGGCCTGCTGCGGGTCGCAATCATGTTTCTTCATACAGCAGTAGTCCGGGTTAGTGTACCGTTATAAGAGACAAATGTATAATTTGCAAAGTTTTAGCCTAAATAGTAATGCATGTATATATACATACATGTATGTCTGGGATGACCGAGGTAATAAAAGAATGATAAAGAATGAGCAGACGGACGGATGGGTGTGGCTGAGCGAGCGAGTGATCGAATGAATGAGCGAATGAATGAGCGAATGAATGAATGAATGAATGAATAGATTAATATATGAAATGAATTAATGAATGAATCAATATAGAATGAATGAATTCGAGAACGAATTAATGCAGGTATTCTTATATTTGTAATGTTACTTTTAATTAAAATTACTTTTTCATTTACTTCGCATAGAACGCTTGCTTAATTTAAATCAAGATTTTTTTTTAATAAAAGATCAACAAAATAATGTCAACGCGTATAATAATTGATCCGGACTTTGTTTACATAGTTACTAAGATATCTAAATATAGCACATCAAAAATCCGGTTTTAAATATAGCAGCCAATCAAAATGCGCTGTCACGAAAAAAATGACGATATTTTCTCCACGCTGGCAGTTAGTACGTGAAACAAATGACTACACTATTGAAGCGTCAGATATTGCATGTGTCCAGCGAAACGTTGTAAATCCATACCCTATATAAGTATTTTTGTAGTCCAAGTCAGTATCATAACTTTGACAAAGCTTGAAGAATAAGGAAATAAATACAGTATTATAGTACAACACTTAAGAAACTGCTACGCTGAGTAAAGATATTAAACGGTGTTTTGCAATCAACAATTACAACTGCTAAAGATGGGTTTATTTCTTTCTAAACTGAGTCAATTGTTCGAAGAATGGGGCACAACCCAAGCAAGGATTTTAATGCTTGGCTTAGATGCAGCAGGTATGTACTATTATTTGATTTTTTTTACCTATTTTGTTTTCACACACAAATCTTAGGTCTTAAAATTTTCTTTTTTTTAATGATTTAACAGTTCTTTTTTTTAGATAAAATTTTCTTTTATATGCGCTCATTTCAGTTCTTATTATTTTCACACCATAAACCCAGTAGTAACATAATTCCTATCAAAATTCAGTATTGTACAAATACATAATTTGTATTTTTTGTTTTTTGTTTATAGGTAAAACTACAGTTCTTTACAAACTGAAATTGAATGAAACAGTTTCCACCATCCCGACAATAGGATTTAACGTAGAAACTGTGTCACCGGTGAAGGGCCTCACTTTCACTGTTTGGGATGTAGGCGGACAGGACAAAATCCGACAGTTGTGGAGACACTACTTCCAAAACACGGAAGGTAATTACACTTTTTAATTAACTTAACAGGTGATAAAGAAGTCAGTCACTATAACTTTTAATGTTATAATCAACGGGAATGTAAAGTTCGACACTTGTTAAAAAGTTTGTAAAGGAAAGGAATTGCCTTATCAAGCAGACGACATATTCAAACAATAAATATGTCAATCAAAATGTTTCTTGCATATATTTTGGAAAATAGAATTTTCCTGCAAGTTTAAAACATAAGTACCTACAAGTATATCAGTGTGACTATATATGGAATATTTTTGTATAACCGAAAAACAGGGTACAGAACTTAAGAAACATTTGCGACTGAGATAAAATGTTCAAGTAAAATCATAACTTTAATCTTTATTTCAGGACTTATTTATGTTGTTGACAGCGCAGATCAATCACGGATGGCTGAGGCCAGAGAGGAACTTATGGGTATCCTGGACAGTGAGGAGATGAGAGGGGTTCCATTGTGCATTCTTGCCAACAAACAAGATTTGCCAAGTAAGTTTAACATTAATTTCTTAGAAACGTCATACATTTTGATTTTGACACTTCCTTCAGAAAATAATCAGTTTTATTTATCTTGCTAGCAAAATTCAATCATGTCGCAACAATCTAAAGTGATCATTTTAATTAAAACATTTGTATGAATCTCTTTTACTTTTGCATCAATTAATATGGATACTTTCTAATACCTATTAATACATTGTCATATCATAACATACGATTTTAATATAAATGTGACGTTTTTTATTCTCTTCAGATGCGATGAGCTCATCGAAAATAGTTGAACAACTAGGTTTGAACAAGCTTGTTGGCCGGAAGTGGTATGTCCAGGCTGCGTGCGCAACTACCGGTGAAGGTGTTTACGAAGGAATGCATCAGCTTGCTTCTATGGTGAAACAGTTTAAGAAAGAAGGACACAGACCTTATTGAAAACAAACGAATGAAAATCAAACTTTAATACATAACACTGCTATATATCATGGGTTTTCGTGTAAACGGGTTTAAAACAGGATACTTACATGTTACCTGTAAACATTGCGACGAACGAATTTCGTCTGACATGAAATAGTCTGAAGATGTCAGACATCATTATTGTGTCATAACTCACATAATTATAAGGAATGAAATACTCGGGTATGTGCAATTCTATCTGTTCTAAGATGAAAGCATCGCACATAGACGTCAGTCGTGTGATCCAGTGTGTGATAGTGACGGTAAGTGGAGTAATACATCCACGGAAGAATAGACGCACCGTTTCAAGACTTGTAGAAATACCTCATCGGTTACCAATAATCATCTTATCCGAACATTTACGGAAATGACCGAGAAGTTGGGATAGTTTTATGGCCGCATTTATCAGTTCATTATTGTCCGGACTTGTACATATGTAAATATCATTATTGTTTTGTGTGTATATGTTGTGTATTTCTTTAAGATCTGTGATCAAATTGTTTTTATATTGTTTTGAATTTACAAATTTATAAATAAAAGATAAATTTCAACTTTATCTTATTTCATTTATTATTAGACAAGACGGCAGATATCTCTTAGATGGCTTCAGTAGGTCTATTCAAAACATAGTTTCCGTATGAACCAAAAATAGTAGACTGTAATACAATGTATGAACCAAGACAGAATTTAATCTTTTTAAAAATAATTAAAAAATGTTTTAAAGGCCCATTTTACTTCAAAAATGCTATTATTTTTATTTCACATAAACTTTAAAAGTTTGGTATCTTATTACAGTTTCCAAAAATTACTCATTTGCCATATATTTGCTTCTTGGGAATTAGTATTTTGTATGGAAGTCAAAATACTACTTAGTTTACATTTTGCTACATTTATGACACATTTTTTTTTATAAATATGGATTTCTAAGGCATAATGTGCCTTTAAACGTTTAAAAGTTTTGGTTTTGAAGCATTAATAATCTTATAAAGCGAAAACAATACAGGATCGAGCGTTGAGCAACACAAAAGCCAGGAAAGCCGGTTAGGAATGTCGACCCCCCCCCGAGATATCACTATAATAGATGTGAAAAGAACTCCACTGAGGTCAAAAGGTCAAAAAGTCTTAAAATATACAAAAAATTGAAATTTTGAAATTCTTTTATAGATTTAGTGAAAGACGAAATATGGTATCATCCGCGAAATATGCTTAGAAAGTTTGCACAATAAAATTGATGATTCTGAAAAAAAAGCGGGGAGAGAATGATGGTAAGTTAGTTATATGAACCGATATTACATATCTACATAGAGCAGATAATAAAATGTCGCCCCTTGTGGCTGAGGGGTTGCCATTAATGGTTGACCACCGTTTATCCCTGTGTGATTGTAAGAGGCGACAACATGTGGAGTCTATGGATTTCTCAGCCCCAGCAAGTGAGGTGGTTTTGACCCCTGGCTTGTGTCAACAAACAAAACAAGCTAGAATAAAATATAGTTATTAATTATGTAAATGTTTATACTATAATCAATTGGAACTCTATCAACATTTTTTTTTTCAAGAAATATTTTATAAAGAATATCAAAAAATACATTTCTAATGCCTTTAGTAACTTTTGAAATATTTATGGAAAAGGTGCTTCCAATAGTAACAGAAATTAAAAAGTGAAAGAGGCTGCTGCTGTTAATGCACTCCATATCTAAAAGAACATAATAAAAATCAGGACATATGCGTGACTCGGTATTTATTCTTTTAATAAAACTTAAAAAGAAATAAATATTTTATATTGTGTTATCAGAAACCTATGGTGGCTGACTTCTGCCATTTCGTGTCTTCGCCCTTCAGAAGTCGAAGGCGAAGACACGATAATATATATGCTTACTTAACCAGTCTTACGGGGCGAACACACGAAGACAAGAAATGGCAGAAACCAGCCACCATAGAGACCCATGTGATGAACTGATTTGATTTCTTTGCTTTATTTAGGCGTATAGAGTCGAACCTTTCATAAGCACTATCCCTAATTTAAGACTTCAGGTGTAAAACGTGTCATTTCATTTTCTTATCAAAACAATTAATGCATTAGTTATTAATATATTTTTTAGTTATATGGCCCAGTAAAATAAGATGTATGAACTTATCAGGTTATATTAAGTTATATTTCAATCAACCGTTTGTACCGGGCCTTTTAACCTGTCAAAAAGTTTCTAAGAGTGCTTTCTTTGATCAAAATAAAGATAATAATAAAAATTAATTCATAAACTGGTAACGCTTGTGTATATGTATATATCGTTAATGTAAACATTACAAGGTCTCAATGCGGTATTATATACGTTGATGTATATCTGATATAAACTATCTGAATTAGAATTAAGAATACACATTTATCGAATGGTATTCTTTTAAATAAATTATGAACTTTTTGTGGCTTAACATTAGTAAAATGAAATGTCAGAGGCAATGATTTCATGATACAAGGTAACTGGTCAAAATCACTAAATTATGAATAAAAACTTAATAGTTCCATGGCGATCCGACTAAAATTTCATTTCTGCGTTAACTTTTTTTTTCCAGATATGGATATATATGATATATTAAAAATCTGGATAAAGTGTGATCCCTCGGAAGCAATAATCACAACAAAATTACATGAAAATTGCAGACTCAGTTTGATTGAGTCTGTGCACGAGGGATAATGAAAAAGTGCAACATCCCTCAAGCCCCCTACCATCAGCCTGAGCGGTACTCAATTTTCAACACTGAAAAGTGTTGAAATCAATGAACCCGAAGGACCAGAAAAATAAAAAAATATATAATAAAAGCACGGAATGAACGATAAATAAATAAAATAAATAATTAAATAAATAAATAAATAAATAAATAAATAAATAAATAAATAAATAAAAACTATTTATCAGTTCAAATTCATATCATTTTTGTCAGATTCTATTTCTCTTTATATACATACGTATGACGTGTCGATTGACGCAGCGATTGTCGATATTCGAATTGACTACAGAAAAATTAGCTAATCAGTATCATCTTATGAAAATCCTTATTTAAAAAAAATCCTTAAACAAATTTTGAGTTCTTGTGGCTTAAAAGCCTTCATCATTTGTTTTTTTGGGAGCGGGTGGCCTAGTGGTTAAGGTTTCTGCCTCTCAACCCAGAGATCATGAGTTCGAGCCCTACTCGGGTCACGACCATGTTTCTTCATACGACACCAGTACTGGTTGGTTCCAGGAAGCGGACTCGAAAGTGATTAATATAAGTTGCAAGAACTTGTTTCGCAATCGAGCTTAAATAAATATGTTCAATAAACATCAAAGTATGGTTAAACTACTTGCACTAGATATCACGCATAGTAGAGAAAAAAGAAAACAACTTAAAAAATATTGAATATTTCACAACGATCATTTGAACATATTAAAGCCTCCATTTAAAACAAAGATATTTGAAACAATTCAAGTACATGCACTTTTAGAATACAAGCAAGTACTCAATTTGTTTCAAACTTATATTTTTGTTATTTTCTCCAAGTGATTCAAGAATATATCATTTTTGTTTAAATACAGACAAAACAGATTATAATTATGTGATAAAGCGCGGGGTTACGGCACGTGTTTTTTGTTTACATTTACACCGTCATAATAATCCGATATCCTAAAATAGCAATACAGTTTTCGGATCTATATATATCCATCCAATCAAAATGTACTATTGAATATTGACGATATTTTCTCCACGCTGGCACCGCTTACGTTGTGTGAAATGACCAAAGAAATGAAATGTAAATTATTGCATGTGTCCAGCGAAACGTTAGATGTCCATATCCACCCTATATAAATCAAGACCCGTGTTTGATCTGATATTATTAAATAAAAATTTCAAGCAGGATACGCATTAACTAAATTAAACTAATATTCACTGAACAGACTCTGTTACGCGCTTACTTGAATAACAACGGCACAATGGGTTTGTTTTTGTCGAAAATAGGTAAATTGTTCGAGGATTGGGGCACAACGCAGGCAAGGATTGTTATGCTAGGGTTAGATGCTGCAGGTACGATTTCTTTTATTCCATTAAATAATCTTTATTTTATCATTTAATTCATTATAAATCAGTGCATGCATTTTACAATGTTGGTTTTTATACACCGTGAATTATTGTTTAAAAACATTATATTTCGATCATTGCTAATTTAGTAATTTTGTATAATGAACTTATAATACTTTGAAATTAAATCTGTCCATTGTTAATCAAAGAGATTAAAATACACTTTGTATACATATTTACATTGAGCGCATGCAGTCTCGCTGGGCTAGCTGCACCTAGATCTTCGAGTATCAGAAGTCCGTTTTTTATAGACTGTTGTGTATGACTTATTGGGACAACACTCGAATATGTCTTATATTAATAGGAATTTATAGAAATATATTTTTTCTCTTGTATTGACTTTTGTGTCTGTTATTGACCAATTTCCTTGGATTCATTGCCAACATTTTGTTTTAAAAGTAACAGGGAAGTAAAATATTTCTTCATTAACTATATTGCCTAGAACAAGTTATATCTTTTTTTCAAAGGTAAAACAACTGTTCTGTATAAAATCAAACTGAACGAGACCGTGTCAACTATTCCAACGATAGGGTTCAACGTGGAGACTGTAACACCCGTTAAGGGCCTCTCATTTACGGTATGGGACGTTGGCGGACAGGATAAAATCAGACCTCTGTGGAAGCACTACTTTCAAAACGTTGACGGTATAAAACTTTCTTATTTTTTCAATATATTTATGTTCAAGTTTTTATTTAAATACTATTTCTTTTGAAAAAAGGGTACCATAATTTATTCTCTGAAAATGTAGATATATTTAAAAAAAAAAGAGTAAAAAAGTGATCTGAAAGCTTTTAGTCAAAAGCTCAATTTTATCAGAATTGTTGATAAAATAGCATTGTATTAATTCTTAAACTGATCCGTTTTTCTGTTTTGCTATTGCAGGTCTTGTTTATGTTGTTGATAGCGCAGATCGGGAACGAATGTATGAGGCCCGGGAAGAGTTGTTCAGTATTGTTGACAATGACGAAATGAGGGGCGTCCCTGTGTGTATAATTGCCAATAAACAAGATTTGCCTAGTACGTTTTACACATTTTTTCTTGATTACTGATTTGAGTTGGCATACACGTTAACTTTTGATAAAGAGAGAAATGAATTTCATATATATGTATATATTTGCTATGACATTAAAATGGATTAATGTTCATGACAAAAATACAGTGTCAGGCAAACCTGAAAATTTGTAAAGTCTGGCATGTTTTTTTTTAATTTTATCATTCTGATATATAAAATTTCTAAGAATTCGACTGAAAATCGAAATTTAGTGCGATAAAATAGCCCGATTTGAGTAAACGATAAACTGTAATAATGAAAATGTTTCTTTTGCCGTTTTACAGACGCTCTTAGTTCATCTAGTGTTGTAGATCAACTGAATTTACATAAACTGAGCAACCGGAAGTGGTATGTCCAAGCTGCGTGCGCAACTAACGGAGATGGCATTTACGAGGGAATGCACCAACTTGCTTCAATGGTTAAAGAGTTTAAAAAAGAAAAAAGTAGAGGAGCATACTGAGTTAACACAGACAATTGAATGTTTACACATCAAATATCATTTTGGATCGTCAAGAGTGATGCACGCGCAAGCGCACATGACACATATAGATTCATTTTTCAAAATCATACACGTGTGTGCAATAAGAAATAAGTGATATTAAGGACGAAATTGACTGCCATATATCTGCTGTATTATGTGGTAGATTTTAATCAAAGTATTTGTGTTTCTGATTCAACCATTGAATCTTTCAGCTCTGCTTTGAATTTGGGACAGTCCATTGTAACTTTAACAGTGAGATCACTGTTTCTGCACAACCAGTGTCTTTTTAAAACTACACGGATGTGCAGGCTTGCTATTTAGAACTATTTATTGTTTTTAAGAAATTTATGGATAAAAAGTAAAGTCTAGGAGCCAAAAATGTAGAGCCTTGTTAAAGTTTACGGTTAGTCAGACTGGCCACGATCTATGCTTTGACTCTTTGAGCGTTGTGCTGCGAAGACAAACAAATAGTGTCCATCCCTGTATGTTGCTATTTTTGCCCTTGAGTTGGTAAAGAAAGTTTTTTGGGCTAATCTTAAAAAGGAAAAAAGTTTTAGAGCGTTTTCCTAAGTTTTGATCCTTCAATAAAAATTTGTAGTTTTTTTTATCTTCTATGTAATATCCGAATGCTAGTACTCTGTGGAGAGTAATTATCTCCCTTCATGCGCCGAAAAGTTGCGCAAAAAATACCGACAACATCTTTAAAATCATTATAAATTAGGCGATGTAAATTAAAATAATGATTCATGGAATTCATGAAATTATCTAATGTTTTGATAATGAACGTGATCATTTTAAGTTTGAATTAAATCAGTCCGTACATGTATATATGTAAATAAAATGTTCTTATTTATAATGCATATTGAAATGCATGTATATTTTTGTAAATATTATTATTTAACATGTTTTCATATTATACTATGTCTTATAATCTATTTTATCTGTGATAAACTGTTATTTGATATTGTTATTTTTATTTAATAAATTTTTCTATGGAAAATATTGTCTGTTATAATATCACTGTTCAAACACGCCAGGAAATCCGAAAAGTTAAAGCCAATTCAACGGTAGGTTTGAAAATCAGCTTACATTGAAATCAAGATAGTGTTTTATACATGTATATAAAATAAGGGACTACAAAGCAATGTATGACGACACTTTCAAATCTAGATGAAGTACATGTATATGAAGACTGACTTGGCTATATACTTCCGGCATATGCTGTAAATATTGGAATCAGCAACCAAACCAAATCATATTATTACACCTCACTTTTTTCGTAATGTTAATTTCTCATAGGCCTCTGGGAGTTATTTTTACTGTTAATGCAAGTGTACCACGTGACTAAGAATTTTGTAGTATTCTGGTCACGTGGTTTATTTTCTAAATAAAATGGCCGCCATTTCTCTCTCGATTCATTCTTACTTTCGACGATAGGGCCTAGGGCATCATCAAAGTAACTATGACTCTCGTCAAATTTAGTTCTTTGCACCTTAGAGTTCTTTTCGCGTATAAAATATCTTTTTGATGAATAGTCAAAAAGTAAACATCCGTTTTCAACGGAAGTTATTGTATTTAACAATTTTAACCAGTGAAACGTTACAGATAGAGTTGGTGGACATACATCTGTAGGATATCACCGTTATTTTGTAAATGCACTTTGTCAAAAACCGTGCGAGGAATATTCTGGATACAGAAGGATCAGATTTCACAGATCATAACCTTATAAATGGGTTAGTGTTTTGTTTTCTAAATAAAACACAGCTTATTGTATGTTTATGACTGGTAGATAAAAGAATAAAAGAAAAACAGCTTCTCAAGTAGGCCTACTGTACACTTAAAACTTGCAAGGTAAGGACAATTTAGTTATTGCTACTCTTGGTTTATTTTTGTTACAGTTAGATTTAGTTTACAAATTCAGATCATCACAGTATTTGTTCGGGGTAATAAAATAAATAACACATGGTTTTGTGGGTAACAATATAAATATCATCCCTCGTAAAAATACGATGATATTTTTACTGTTACCAACAAACCCATGTACGTGTTATTTATATATTACTAGTAGCTAGAAAGATGGCACACTAGCTCCTTAAACCAGGCATTGTAGGTTTGAGTCCTACCCGGGACTATCTTTAATCAGGACACCAGTACATGTGTACTAGTTTCTTCCGGGAAGCAGACCCTAGAACATGTTGGAATATCTTCCTTTTCGGCTAAATGGTCCATTCACTTTCATAATATCTTCCCTTTTGGCTAAATGGCATATTCACTTTCGGAAAATTTTCCTTTTTGCATGAAAATATATTCCTTTTTTGGCTAATTGGTACACTCATTGTTGGAATATCTTCCTTTTATGCCAATCATACATTCACTGACTACCTTTATAACCGACTTCAAGAATTTTGTTAGTATTTAAAAAGTAAAGCTACAATTAGATTTCCTTTATATTTTGCTCTTTATGCGACTATTTGCTGTAGTTATGTTCGTAGGCAGGATACATGTTGTCTTTATTACTCTTATTGAAGACTAGGCCTCTTATTAAAGTGTACAGATTTTAGAACCCGGCCACAGCTCAATCGCATCTTAACGTCAAACTTCGGTTAAGAACTATATAATAATTGATAAAAGCCGAGATGTTCCTATGGCACTTTGCTTCACGCTTATTTCCTTAAGTTTTTAATCAATGTCGCCATCATCTCAACGCCCTCAAAAACTCCTTCCGAAGTAACAGCGCTAGCACCTTGTACATGCCAGGAATGACAGTGTCCGAGATCGTTTAAACCCATTCGTTCGGAGATTTCACTTGGTTTTAAAGCACCTAAATAGCAAATGGAATATTAAGTTAAAATCAATTAAGCGATATTGTAACTAACGGATTTACTCACTTCTTAAACGAATTAAGCATTGGAGAAGAAAGATTAAGTTATAGCATCCAAGTGAAAATGTCATCTATATTATTACTCTAAACCAAAAGGATACTAATTTCTTTGAGTGAAGAAAATATATATTTCTCAATAAGCTGATAAGATTAATAGTTTATTAATTTATTTGGTTGAGTTTTACGTCATACCCACACAGTTTAGGTTATATGGCGGCTTTCCAGCTTTACTGGCCCCAGGCACGAAAGGGTACCTGAGTAGAACCACTGACGTTCAGTAATTTTTCACTTGAGAAGAATCCGAAGACATTTGCGCGGCTTGATTCAAGTGGTTTGAGGTTAACGACCTTAACCACTGGGGCACGGATGCTCCAATACAGTGTATATAGAAATTAATTAAATATTAATAATCTTACTATATATATTAACCTCGATTTACTATGATACTAAACATATGGAGGAGAAACATGTAACACATGCACTTGGAAAAACCTCGCAATAATTTTAAATACGGAACGAAAATTTGGAGAAGCCAACAATGAAAATGCAATGAGCAAGAAGTGAACTTACCTGGTAAATCTTGCTTGTTTGCAATAATTACAACAGGGACACCTTTCATGTTTTCATTGTTTAAGGTATTAAACAACACTTCTCGAGCTTCTGACAGTCTCTCCACATTTGTGCTGTCAACAACATACAACAACCCTAAAACAACAACAATAACATCAACATGATATGGTAGATCAGTGAAACCACAAAAAAATACGACAGAACAAAACAGAATTTCATAATGACTTCTAATGCGTGATCCTGTAAAGTAATCATGGTCATTCATAAAGACCTAAATGGAATGATTTGCACAAGCACACAACCATACCGACGAACACAAATAAACTTTGATGATGATTAGTAGGGGGGGGGGGGGTGGGGGACGGTGGTGTAATCTCAGTTGGGGTTCGAAGGAGAGTGTGAGGGGTGTCTTTAAGTACGGTTTCCTGACATTTACTATACACATTTTTAAAAATTTACTTCTAGGAGCTTTGGGAAGGAGCGCATCCTGGGTCAGCCTCAGCCATGTCCCAAAACTAGCCAACGTTTTGTTTTATCTTTTGTTAATATAAAACACCCATATCTAATTCGCCTGTGTGATGGAGAACTTTACTAAAACTAAAACATACTTATGATCAACAATACATTATCACATCCTCTTATGTATTCAAACTGTTTTAATAGCAAACTTTTTTTATCTCCTTACATCTGTAACATTTCCTATGTCCAGTAAATATGTCCTATAGCTGTTTAAGGCGTTACAATCGCCCCTTTTCAGCCCTTTCCGTCAGTCTTCGATAAGGATATAGATAAAAGCCGAGAATGTTCCAATCAATGGCGTTATTGTGGTTGCCTAAGTACGGCTTGAATCCACGAACCAGGGATGGAGAGTTGGATATCATTGTAACTAGGATACTAGGCCACCCATAGAATTACAATTGTCAAACATAGAATGCTATTAGTTAAAATAAATTGCTGTGAAGTTGAACTGTATTTGTTATATATTTAAAAATTTAACTATTATAATGGTGACTGACCAGTTACTGATAACGATACATGTTTAGGATGAAATAAATGAACTAGAATAAAATATAAAACTTAAAAATACAACTTAACATTAACCATTCTCACTTGGATATGTAGAAAATAATAAAACCTAAATTATCAACTCGATTCGCAACAAGCAAGAGAGAAGAAAAAAAGTAAGAAATTTACCATCCGCTCCGCTTATATAATGGTGCCACAACGATCTTAAATTTTTCTGACCGCCAATATCCCATACAACAAAACTGACGTCACCCGCTACTTTTACAGTCTCTACATTAAATCCAATCGTTGGAACTGTTGTTAAAATCTCCCCAAGCCGGATTTTGTACAGAAGTGTGGTTTTCCCTAGAAAATGGAATAAATAGCAGCAACGAAAACAATTACATCATCATCATCATCATCATCATCATCATCACCACAATCACCACCACCATCATCATCATCATCATCATCATCATCATCATCATCATCATCATCATCATCATCATCATCATCATCATCATCATCATCATCATCATCACCACAATCACCACCACCATCATCATCATCATCATCATCACCACCACCATCATCATCATCATCATCATCATCATCATCATCATCATCATCATCATCATCATCATCACCACAATCACCACCACCATCATCATCATCATCATCACCATCACCATCATCATCATCATCACCATCACAAAATTGTTCAGTTATGATGGAGAAATAAGTTGAAACATTACCTCGTACACCTTTTTACTTTCGTTTTCGATGTTTTGAGGGGCTATTTCCCGTGAACGCTGTACAACAGTGATTTTACTCAAATGGAAAGTTAGCCTTTTATATTAATTATTTTTATTTAACAAAACTTAAAAATAATCACCTGCATCATCTAAGCCAAGCATCAATATCTTTTTGCTCTCACTAACAGAAGAACAGACTCCCATTGTTTCCAAAACAGAAAAGCGTTGTATATCTCTAACTTAAATTACACCTGACAAAATTGACCAGGCTATGTTTAAAAGGTAATTACACTATAGAAGTGGAATATGTACAATAAACCAATATAAATATTAAGAGTGTATTTAAAAAATCACCCGATATTTGGTGATTACTTAATGGTTAATGCATATAGGATTTATCATTCTATATATACAGCAAATACATGTATATTTTAGACATGGTATAATTATAGCAAAATAGTATAAGCCGCATTTTAGATCGACATATAGAACTGCTATTGTAGAACAGTGTTCAATATTTACCGGTTAAATCGTTATTAAAGGCCCATTATGTCTCAGAACTGCTATTATTTTTATTTCTCAAAACATTTCTATTTTTAGTTTCTTGTTACAGTTTCGAAAAAAAAACCTCATTTGCCACATAGATGAATCTTTTATTTAGTTTGCTCTGTTTGCAATGGGTAAAATCATAGTGAAATGGTATTTTGTATGGAAGTCAAATTACTACTTTGTTTACATTTGGCTAAAGTAAGTTTATGGGCTAATCTATAAAAGGCATACGTTTTAACGGCGTTTTCTAGAGTTTTGATCCTTCAATAAAAAATTATTATATTTCTTTAGATAATATCCGAATCCTAGTTTTCTACCTTCATTTTGGAGAGTAACTATCTCCCTTAATGCGCCGAAAAGTTGCTTAATAATAATAATAATAATAATAATAATAATATAATAATAATAATAATAATAATAATAATAATTAATAATAATAATAATAATAATAATAATAATAATAATAATAATAATAATAATAATAATAATAATAATAATAATAATAATAATAATAATAATAATAATAATAATAATAATAATAATAATTAATAATAATAATAATAATAATAATTATAATAATTATAATAAAAATAATTATAAACTACAGACAACGCATTTAAAATCACTAAAATTGAGTCGACGTAAATTAATATTAGAAACATTTTATAATGATTCATGAAATTCTTGAAATTATCTATGTTATAATGTTTCATGTTTCTGTCTTATTCGGTTATTCCATGACCAAGTTAACTGTTAGGTAGCCACACCACCCTCATGTCAATATGTTGGTTCTATTAAACGGAACATGGCTTTTTTGGTATGTTTAATTAATGCCTGTCAACAGTCTCACTTATTCGTTTGTGTAAAGTCATTTGTCATAACCCCTCCAGCAAGGACATGAATGTCAGCCATTGTAAAACACTTTAAACCACTCTAAACTTAACAGCTATATTAACTATTGAGGTGTGAAAATTCAATTGTATTACTCAATTTCTTGTTTACTAATGTGATAATGTATATAGGGACTTCCAAAACAGTTAAAAATCAGAGCGGGCGCTGTGGTGCAGTGGTAACACTCTGTGACTACAAGTCTAGGGATTGCGAGTTCGATTCCCCGCTACTCCACTAAAATTACCAACAATATAATAGAAATTAAAATTGATTAATAAAACTACTCAAACACTAAACTGACACACATGACAATACACACACACACTGACATACAGTTCACTACTCACACATGTATACACATGGCATAACTCACACAATGACACACAAAAGACTACTCACATACACTGACACACAGGACTCTACTCATACAGTGACACACAGAACACTAATCACACACGGAACACTACTCATACACTGACACACAGAACACTACTCACACATGGACACACAAAAGACTACTCATATACAGTGACAAACAGACACTACTCATACAGTGACACACAGGACACTACTCACACACGGACACACAGGACACTACACACACACACAAGACACAGTGCACACAGACAAACAGGATTCTCCTCACACACGGACACACGGAACATTACCCATACATTGACACACAGAAAACTAATCACACACAGACACACAAAACACTACTCACACACTGACATAGGACACAGAGACAAACAGGTCACTACTCACACACAGACACACATGTATCAACTCACAACGTGACAAACAGGTCACTACTCACACATGACACTACTCACACACAGATCTACTCATACAGTTACATACAGGACACTACTCACACACGGACATACAGGACACTACTCATACATGACACACGGGACACTACGGACACACAGGACACTACTCAGACACACAAGAGACTTCTCACACATTGACACAGGGCACACAGACAAACAGGACACTACTCACACACGGACACACAAGACACTACTCACACACTGCCACAGGATACACAGACAAACAGGTAACAACTCACATCGTGACAAACAGGTCACTACTCACACAGGACACTTACTCACACACAGACACACAGGTCACTACTCACACACAGATATTGTTGAATTCTTGAAGTTAATAAGGGACTTCCGTATGTTGAAGTCGTGAATTCACACAGTTAAAATTGGAAATTCATTGAAGATGAAATCAGGAATTCATGAAGTTAAAATGCCCTTACCAGTCTTTCATAGAAAATAATGTAGATTGTTTCACTATAGCAAATGTCAGAAAATAAATATTAATTATGAATATAAGATTTAATGTGATCCAAGTGTTTGGAGAGATGGTACTAAATCATTCCAGAATTGAGCAGCCTTAGCGGCAAGTCTAGTCTTTGCCGAGTGTGACCCCATGTTTGGTGTGATTTCGAGATATTGTTCCGCCATTGTTGTGAACTGAGGCCAGTGTAGATTACTATATATAGCTTCCAAATTGATCGGTTTGTTTGGATTTCTGAAAGAAAAGTGTTCGTTATTATAGAAATAAGTCGATGTAAATATAAAAATTGGGAATCCTTTTTCAATAGCAGGCTAACAATTTTTTCATGAAACTGTGAATATATGTATATATATTTTCATCATTTATACATGTATGATGTACGTAACGCTGACTGGGTACCACAGAAATTAACAATGAAATCCGCACAATAATTGATATTTAAATGATTTAAGTGCATTTTTACGGTAACCTAAAAAATGATTTCCTTTTAAATATGCACAAAAGACACAGCATGTTCTTTTACAATCATTGTAAGACATACAATGTAGTTCTGTTGAAAATCAAAATTAAGCGCTTACCCCGTTTTCGCAAAGTTACTCCACATCGCCATTGTTGCCTTGGACACCTTATGTTGTTCTGCAGTAACATTTGCGGGATTCGCCCCAAACGGCAGCAATAAGGCAGCTGGAAATCCAAATACGAAACCAAGCTCGTCCGCATGTCCGGCACTTTCTTCGTCCTTAAGCATCGGAGGTATTGGAAGAAATTCCATCACATATGCGGTTGAAAATTGATACATAAACGTTGAAGTGTTTCCATTTGCATGCGCTCTTGCTGTTGACACAGATGGTGCATTCAGACTTAAGTCGGTTGCTATATTTATCAAATTTTGTAAACGCCGAGTTAGATTGTTACGGTCATCCCAAGCGGTGTATTCAAATCTAATAGCTTCTAGCACAGCTTTATTCGGAATTTCTCCGAGAGATACTGCAGCTGCTATAGGCATAATGATATGTTCAAACTGCTCTGACGTCACATTAAAGTAATCAGTCAATGGACCATATGAAGACTCGTTGATATACTCCAGAAAATTTGTGATAAAAACATTTCCATCCAATTTATTCGCACCTATCATCAAATCTACATTTTTGAAAGATGGGAATTTTGAATTTACTAAAGGATCAGCCATTTCGTTCAGAAGATGGTCTTGTTTTGTAACCACAAAGACTCCGTCAAAAACAGGGACCCATGTGTTGTTAACCAAATTCACAGGCAAAAAAGACTGGAAACTTTCTGTGACAGTTTTCATATGATCTGATGATTTGTTTCGTAGGCATTGGAGCAGAAGAGAGGAGCTCACGTAATTACAACCCGCATATTTCGCAAAGGCCGTGGACACCTTGTAATTTGAATCAAAACGGTTAACACCCCACGCAGCAATTGTACCACTCTGTGCAATGGCGCGCTGAAACAAGCCATCGTTTCCAGGGTAAACAGTTTGATAAATCACACTACTACCACCAGCTGATTCCCCGAATATTGTGATTTTAGACCTGTCGCCGCCAAATGCAGCAATATTCTCAGAAACCCATTCTATAGCTAAACGCTGGTCCCACAATCCGAAATTTCCCGGAGCTTCGGCATCTTTGGTTGACAGAAATCCTAAAGGACCAATGCGGTAATTCATCGCAACCACTATAACATCAGCATAGGCGCCGATGATACTACCGTCATAAATGTCTGAAAATCCTAGATCGAACCCGCCGCCATGAATATATACCATTACAGGTTTTAACACGGTCGACGATGACATCATTGGCGCGTATATATTTAGAAAAAGACAATCTTCCGATGTGGTCAGACCAAACATAGCAACGTTTGGCTGAGGGCAAATAGGTCCAAAATTAGTTGCCATAAAAGGCGTCACAGGAAGTGCGTTCATCATTTCCGGTTTCCGAAATCGTCGATCACCAACCGGTGCTTTTGCATAAGGAATTCCTAAAAACTTCCTAATTTCGACATTTTTACCTTCGTAGTTTACTGTCACTAACTGTCCATGAATTTCTCCATACTTTGTCTGTATAATTGGAACTCCGACCGAAACAACAAAAGTGTGAACAGCGGCAAGTAAGGAAAAACTCACATAACAATAGAAAAACGTAGACATTTCCCCCGCCTATTATTTTAGAAACCATGTAAAGCAGTGTAAGTTATATGTAAGAGATAAGGTATGAAGAAATCGGAAGAGCGATTGTACATGTATTTCGTTATCTAGCGTTTTTTGTTACTTTTGTTATCTTTGTGTAGAGTTGGCATGCAATTAAAGACATTCATTTATAAGGACATTAGAATTTACAAAAATCAATTTTGTTGAGATACTTATTATTTCTACATCTAAATCTTTTCTTTATTTATTGTTAGGAAATAATTGTCTAATTCTTCACAAGAGCCACCACCTACCAGGGTCATAGTCGACTTTCTCTCTTTTCCTAAAAACAAACACATAATAAGAATAATATTGTAGTAAAGTCTACTACTATTAAATAGTTTTCTTGTAACAAAAAAAATTCATATATCATATTTGACCTTCACGATCAATGTCAATTAAAAGTCTAGGTCATATTTGAATTAATCATTATGTCGGTTTTGTCATATGTGTTCTTTTGTCCAAGAATGAATCAGATCCATAAATAAATATCAAAGTTGTGACAATAGGAGCAAATCTCAGTAATTTGACCTTGAAGGTCATTGTCAATTAAAGGTCAAGTTCATAATTATCAGAATACTGGTTTTGTCATAAGTTTTCTTTTTTTCCAAGTATAAATCAAAGCCATAAATAAATAAAATAATGGCCAGTTAATTTGACTTAAATTTCAAGGTAAAATTAAGGTCCAAGTCAAGTTCAATTACATATTCTTTAATTTATTGTCCCAATGCTTGTTGTGTATGCGTAAAAAGACAATGCATTCATTATTTACAAAGTTATAGCCAATAATAGCAAAAAGCAAAGAAACTACATGGATTTACAAGCATTTGACCTTCAAGGCTTAGACAATTGATGAGTGAAGGTCAGAATTAATTTGGTCTACTTACAGGTCTTGTCCAACGAATTATTGGGTCAAAGTATGAAGACGATACATTCATAAAAAGCAAAGCTATAGCAAAAGTCAAGTACAATTCATTAATTTACCCTTCAGTGTCAAGGACATTGACAAGTAAAGGTCATGATTAATTTGATCTGTTTGTAGGTCGTGTCCAAAGGAAATGTGAGTCCAAGTATGAAGACAATCCATTTATAAAAAAAAACCCCACAAAGTTATAGTCAATTATAGCAAAAAACAATAAAAAAAACACAAACATTTGATATTGAAGGTCAATGTTCTTGATGAGTCAAGGTCAAGTTTAGTGGTCTTGTCCAAAAAGGATGCCGTGTCCAGCTTTGGAGACTTAAGCAATACCAAGATTTTTTTCTTTTGCATAAGTCGAGCTAAAATGAATACTAAATCTATATAATTAACTCATTTCTTAGGACCATTAGACAACCATTTTTTAAGCAGGAGTTTTAAAAATGAAATGCTTTATAGTTATAATAAAATATTATTAACTGGGAATGTGTATTGAGGACAGCCGGAAAGGACATTTTGTTAAGATAATAGAAGTTATATTTAGTATTCCGTTTATCAACCAAATATGCACGTACCTTATAAATGAATGAACTATGTCATTTTCCGAAAATAAAATGGGAATGTGACATGGTTCATACTTGGGTTTTATCAATATTTGAAACACTTGGAAATGGAAAATGTGCCAATTGTAGATCAATTCACGGGTTTACTGCGTGTTGTTTTTTTCCAAGCTGTCACCGTTTTTAACTCTATTGCACTTAATTTTGTTACATTCTTGTTGTGCTTCAAAACTGTTATGTTGTTATATGCGCTTTATTAACTATCAACATATTGTCATTATGTAGTCTGCAAAGTTCAATGCTCTGAAATGATAAGGGCAATGTTAAAATGTCTTACACTACTGCAAGGTAAAATTTATAAATGTGGTTAATAGATGTGTTTGATTGGTATGTTTTTACTCTAGATAATAAATAATACCGGTACATTCAATCATTCGAATTCTATTTAAATACTACGAATCGTCAAATCACATCCCTAGCGCAAAATCTATATATTGTATTTGTTGCACAAAAATACAGACATGGATATTTTCTTTCTTTAAGTTTATGTTACTCGTAAAGATAAAACAAACCACGTAAATTGTTTAACGTATTTCTAAGTGTTTGATAGACATCAGTTGCAAAACACATGTAATTCATACAGTATGAAGTAAATGTAAATGTACTTTATTTAGGTCAACTTGGTAACATATTATAATTTTTTTATAAACCAGTCTTTGTTACTTACAACATATGCGGCCAACACGTTAATAGACATAGATATAAACTTTTCATAGAGTTTAGCGTAATCAGCGGTAACTCAAATGGAATCAGTCATGCAATAGGTATTTTTAATGTGAATCACATGAAAAGCCATGTCAGACTGTGTTCCAATTACAAAGTTCATTCTTATTTTTCATTCGGCTGCGAAACAGCCCAGTCTTCTATGACTTTAAATAATGGGTATGATTTACTGCGGAATGACACGATTTATTTCGCGATTCCTCAATAAAAATGCAAGTACATAAACCTTTAATATACATAAGCTCTATTCTAAATTTCTTGCTTTGTTGCATAACGTTTTTATTCACATTTTCTTTCTTACAGGAAGTCAAACTGATTTTAGACCAGCCTTCGGTCGGAACAAATCCTCTACTTCCTGTCCTTCAAACACCCTTTTTATCTAGAATTGTATATGCTATAGAAATGGTTTTGCTCATGAAATTAGGATTTGTCCCACTCACGGAATCTTGCGGAGTTTGCCGAATTTATACGATGTATTGATAGATGGAAAATTCCACAAACAACAGATTCAAACGATTATTTTCGTGGGTCTAAGTTATAGTTGTATTTGACATCTCCATTACTGGCTACAAAAGATATTTTCAATCTTTTCTCAGTCACATCTACTAATGCAAATCCACCGATATGTTTTTTAGCAAAAAAGAATTTCAAGGATTCTTTTGGAACTGTGTCCTGATTGGTCATCAAGTCATCTGTCCAGGAGCCACTCCCAAGAACGAAATAGTCCATTTTCTGACCGCTTGTTCTCGTTTGTATGTGCTGCAAGAAGGAATGTGTCTGTTGGTTTCTTTAAAATAAATATCTCAATTTCATTCAGATCATTACGAGTATATTTTAGGAAAAAGTAAAAATTACTTCCTACATTGACAGCAGTATAAACGTCTCGATTATCCAATGACAAGCGTCGTTACAAACGTGCAGTATCATAAAACATGTACATATCATTATGTTTTAAATCCACTATGTACCCAATTTATTCATTATCAGAAAAACATGTATATAAAATAATCGCATCTCGTGAATTAATGTGAACAATCTAAGGTGCTTAAAGGCTAATTTTCCTAAAAAAATACTATCAATGCTATCGATTTACTAATTTTGATTTAATAGCACCGGATCGATTCTAAATAAAATGGAGTTTGAGCTTGACGAGGTAAGAGAATAGTCAAAATAAACACATTTACAGTTGTTAGTCTTTGAATATTGTGCTTCACAGAACATGTCAGTGTTACTTATGGCATGTGGTATAGTTCACGTAAATTTGTATTTTGTATGGAAGTTGAAATACTACTTCGTTTAAACATTAACGACCCACTAAACGTTCAGCGCTTCCTACTTCAGACATTTTTTCTAATCCATTATTAAACACATGTTTGATATTTCTAAAGAATAAAAAAGACGAACTTCTGAGGCATAATGTGCCTTTAAGGTACCCAATATTATAATTATGCAATTTTAATTGTTTATATACTAGTACCTGTAAGTTATGGTCGTGCCCGGATAAATAGGCTGTCACGTGGTACTTGTAAAGTAGAGGTTCGAGTCTCGAGTAGAGGCATTCTGTTGGCCCGTTGACACCGACCGAATAGACAGGGTAGTGTCCCCCAACCAGAAGAAAGTCACTTCTAAAATAGCATGTTATACAAAGTTTATATAGAGACTTACTCCGGAATTAAGAATATTTTGGATTTTCCTAGCCACTCCGTGGGTACAAAAACTTTTACAGTTGCAATTTCGAAAATAAGCGCAGTTTAGGAGTAAATATCGCGTTTGTGTAGGAATACGTAAGGAAGTACTGCACATGCAGTGTGAATCAATGTGATATACACCTCTATTTTTAGTAACATTTACGGATTTTTCTATCTTTGATGTCGGGACGTTTGGAACTTTGCACTCCGGATAACGTCAGTTATTAGGCACATTGAATTTACCGCAGAACATTTCAGCCACTGGATCGTACTGGTACGGAGCTATTATAACAGTTCTTATAGCAAAAATAATTTTTTCTTAAAATTGGTAATGTAACGCAAAAGAACTATTTTCAGACATTTTATTTCATAGAAAATTGAAAATTCCTCTCTCCGGTGCTGAAGGTTAATGACCTTTCACTGCAAGGAATTTTAACTAGTAAATGTTCCTTGGATTGGACATAATTTAATTTTGAACGAAACCTTATTTTCACTAGAGTAAGCCAATCTGTTTACTCTATAAAATAGCTCATTATAAGTTAATTGATACAACTTTCGGAACAGAAGGTAAGTATAAAAGACATAAACGTTATGCTTTATAGGCAGTGGTTTATATGTGTACTTGTATGGAGTTATCTGTACATAACATAGTATGCGTCAACATTTGCAACATGTGTTAAAACTTGACATACCCCAAAACGAATAACAAAAACCTGCTTACTTTGACTCTTTAAGAGTGCGTTCTAACCAAGACCACTGCAAGTTTGCATTATGCACGTTTTTTGGTCCCTTCAGACGCTTGCCGTATGGTGTATCATATGTATTGCCGCAAAGGATTGTGGTATCGATTAGCAATACATCCAAAACCTTATCGTCTGGTAGCATCCATGATTGTTTATAGTAAAAGTGCGGGAACATCCTTGATAAAATGAAATGTGTAAGTGTTAAAATAAATTTTTGTGTTGGTAAAATTGTTGGTGAAAGGCGTTTTGAAACATTAAGAATGAAAATCATTAAAACAAAGTTGTGAAAGGGATACTTTTCAAAGATACTGTGTACTACTTAAGTATTAAAGCAGCATGTATCTGCATTCATTCTTATTGTCAAAAATGCATTTAAAGTGAACAATCAAAGTAATTTATAATTTATTCTCTTATAACCAACTTAATTTACCATAAAGAGGTCGGTATGTGCAAAACTAACCATTACTGCGTTAGTCACGCTGTTGAAATATGAAGATAAATATTGCAAAATAAGTTAATTACTGCACATTACATAAAAATTATTTGAATATTTTTACTTTTCTAAAAAAATGCACATTTTCTCAAGATTGATTTTGTTAAAAAAAACTTTGGTTATTTGGTTCAACTGAAGGAATGCACATACATGTATTTATAAGAGGAAAACAGTTACGTCTGCACAACGAGGGTTGTTAAAAAGTTATAGGACTGCAGCTCAACTGATCACATTTTTTATTTAAACGTACACAATTTTACAAGAACATGTTCACTATCGATATACCGTGAAAGAAAGGAATACAAAATGTTTACAAGTAACATTTCTGTTCAAATGACAATGGGGGGGGGGGTGGGGGGGGGGGGGTGGGGGCGTGGGTTCGAAGCCAGTCGTACGCACAATAAATGACGTTCATGACGTCGTAAAATAAATTCAAGATGTAACAAGCGTCTTTCTTTCTGTCACTATTACCAGGCTTCATATGTGGAGATGAAGCGAGAAAATTAGCGACCCAAGTTCATTCCACTTAAAAAAACACAAAAACAAACAACAAAAAAACGCAGAAGATAGAAGATTCTGTGACAGTGACGTGAGGGACACCTGTTGAAATAGTTTTCAATATAAGAAAAGATAAGAAAAAATAATAAGAAAAAACAACAACAAAAACTACGCATAAAACACTGACATATTATATTTACCATCTAAAAGACGAACTTGAACGCCGTATTTGAGCCCTAACAGAACCATAATGATCGTGGTTACCAGCAATTATATACCACGGTATTTGTAACGATTCCTGGTTATAAACGTTCTCAAATGTCGTCTGCAAAAATATTTGAAATAAAGTTTTGTCTTTCCTTGTCTTTCTTCAAGACACTAAATAAAGCTTAAGGTAGAACGCGACACTTCGCAAACTTTCGAGTAGCGTCATGCAAAATATTGACCATACTTTACATTAGATTCCGTTTGCAATACAAATAAAAATAATGACTGAATAAAATGATATTTTACGCTTAAATTACGCTCTTATGATGACTGTTCTACCTCACCTCAAATCTGTCGCTTTTCCAACTGTAAATCCCAGTATCGTAAAAGTTGTCGCCAAGAGAAAGGACAAAACTGATATTCCTTTCACCCGCCGTCGTAGCCATTTGATTGGCCACATCAATTTGCATTGAAGTTGTGTACGGTGCATGTGGTGAGCCGCCCCAGTCCGCTAAAACGAGGATCTGTAAGGAGTCGCAGTTGTCTCGTGTAAGAGGAACACCTTTTACTGTGGGGTTGATATAAATATATATCAGTATTGAAGACGCACGTATCAAACTACGATTAAGCAATGAAGAAGACATTAAAATTTTTTATTGTAAACTTTTTTAAAGAAATTTTACGCTGGGATAGAAATGACGGTATAAGAAATTGAAAACATTTGATATCGAAGAAGGTGTTTTGTAACGTTCTCTTAGAAACACCATATTGTAAAATAGAAAAAAATGTCAAGTTAGTTTAAAACCTCAGAAATGTAAAGTAACGTTTTATTTTTCGTAGCAATGGCTAACATTTGTTTAATAGTTTAGTAATAATGGGTTTTTATTTGTTTGGGTCGTCAGACCAAACAAATAATGGTAGCGAAATTTCAGACTCTAATGCTGTTAATTGTAAGTGCCGAAAGTAGTCCGCTTTTTTGAAGCGGTTACTTCCCTTTATATGTAACACTTAGGCCGAAAAGTTCAGGGGAGATCACTTCGTAAATATGGTAACATGACAGGCGGATTAATTTTCAAGCAAAATAATTCCCGAATGGTCGAATATTTCTAATATTGTTTTATTCTTTATAGATATATACATGCTTATAATAAGCGCCATGATTATTTACACAAGTGTTAAACAACAGTTAGCGTTACAAACCCTAAATAGAATAATATGGTTTTCTTCAGGACATTAACAAAGAAATTCATCGTGGCCGAAGGGTTTCAGCGCTCGCTTAGGAAGGGAGAGGTATGAGTTCAAATCCCAGTTAAGGCAACTCATTTTTTTTCAAATTGTTTAAGTAGAATAAACATTGGATCTAATAGCAGTGTTGCAATTAATCTTTTAGCCATTCTACTACAATTAAAACGCTTGAAAGCATTGGTGGCACTATACAAAAACAAATTGTTTTATAATCTCACAACCTTCACCTTTCTGACATTCTGAGACCCAAACAAATTCAGCGCCTTCTGTGCTTTGAGTAAAACATGTAAGCAAAATGTACCCATAGTGATAAAGTGACTTCTATAAAAATACTAAATATTTATAAGGTCACTACTTGCCAAAATGCTTAAGAAGCGAATGATGATTAAGATATATGTACGAAAGACCGGTAGGCCATTACAACTTCATGAATTCTCGATTTCATCTTCATGAATTCACGGTTTCAACTTTTGAATTCACGAGTTCAACTTCGGGAATTCACGAATTCACGATTTCATCTTCATAAAGTTGAAGTTGAAATCGTGAATTCGTGAAGTTAAAATCGTGAATTGATAAAGATAAAATACACGGCGGAGGAAGTGTTACACGAAGGATGGAGTTCTTATGATAACTTGTTCAGGGGTTCTTGTGATAACTGTCACGTAGTTCGTCGTTAAACATCAGTATACATTACAAAAACACTCGTCAAAAATGGCTATTTTCATCTTTTAAAAATGAGTTTTAGGTGCTCAATTAAACTTAAATAATTAAGCTTGTCTTACATCTTGTATTTTGTGACAAAGCAAATTCATAGGCAATTTTTATCGCCTCTTGCTTAAAATCTGGTAGTTTTGAGTAAAATTTTCAAATTATTTGCCAATTCACATGTATTGACCTGTTTATTTCTGGTCTTTATCCTTGCCATACATAATTACCTATTAATTTTAATGCAAAATTGCAAACAAAAAGCACCGGCTAACAGATTTATACCCGATTTTTCAAATGTTCTGGAGTACTTGTGATAACTCTGAAGATGAAATCGGGAATTCATGAAGATGAAATGTCCCCATCGGTCTTTCGTACATATAGGCAATAAGTAATTATACTAATCTGTAATAGCGTCCCGAATAAAAATCTTTTGAGATATAAAAATATTTGCATTTGAAGCCTAATTGATTCAGAAAAAGTATATATTAGCTTATCGGTTGAAGTAGACAGAACTAAATGTGATCCTTTTACCCCTATCATAAAGATGAATACTTAAAGTATTTGAAAAATTTAAAATCATGCTATGGAAGAATTCATTGAAAAAAAAAATACTGTCGTTGGAATGATGGATAATGATTCAATCTAAAAATGAGATATGGGAAATATTAGTGTGACCAGACACACGTTATATAACAGAGATAATGAATCGTAGAAATGATGGTGGGAAAATGACAAAATAACCAGTTTAGAAAATGGTGCAATAAAAGAGCTTATCGATATAGAAAGAGATTCTTTAAAAGTACTTACGGTAGAAACAATTGCACACATCATAAAAAATGAAACACCGTTATATCCTTTCATAATGTCAAAAATGTCGGTATAAAAAAGAAGAAGAAAAAAAAAAGAAAAAAAAAGAAAACGAAATAAAAAAAACACCCACAACAAAACAACAAGAAGAACAACAACAAACAAAACAACTGTTTTGTTTTTAAAAAAATCAAACATCAATTTTAATGATATCTTTTGTGTGTGTGCCCCAACGCTGACACCAAATTTGATTTTATAATTAAACTGTCATTTATTGATTTGATATCAAAATCCTGTAATTATCTTGTTAACATTGTTACTCTAAAAAATTAACGAGCTTTAAAATTAAATCTTCTCTTGTTTCTCAATAAAAAATTATCATTAAACTTGAAACAGGTTTTTTTCATTTATGTATTTATTTATTTATTGTAATCTATACCTTGAGCAAATAAAGCCAGCAACACGGTAAAAACAATGACATCGTCCATGAATATTATGCCTAATTGGAAACTTCTCTAAAAAAATAATTTATTTACAGACAGCTGTGATCATAGCTCTCTACTTATATACACCGACACAACTGTGCCCGGTTTACTCAACGCTCAATATAATTATCCACGGTATATAGCCTGGGTTGTTTCAATGGAACGGCCTATATACATAAACTTACATATATTTAACACATACAATTTAACGCGTATTGTTGATTCAACGAAAGTGTTTAACACTTTTATGATCTTGTTAATAGCAACATCATCTTTCTTAAGGACGATGTGTTCAAAACAAAACCCGTTTACTTATAAACTTAAATCAAGGTATAAATGAAATAATTTTCACGAATAATATAAAACAGAATTATATTACTTGGTCCAAACTGGTGTCAATGCTCTGGTTAAATATGCGTGAATTGTAAACGTGCTTGGAACTATTATGTAGTGTGCAACAAACTTGCGTGTATATGCAAAACATATGTAGTGTGGAACCTGACAATAGAGAATATGTTAAACAAAAAAAATCGATAAAAATATGAGAATGCCGAAAACAATACGGGCATTTGATTTATAATAACTATTTATAATTTCATACAGTATTACTTATTAATCTACTAATTCAGGGGCTATAGGACGTAGAAAAAAGCATACAGTATTCTTATTCTTATGAAGACCATATAGGTTATTTAAATCCAAAACTGATTATTGCACTTAAACAACATTTTGGGATTCAACAGAATAATCACGTATGTTAACAGTACTTAACTTTACTCCATATTACAAACATTGCTTTTTTGAAACATTAAGTAGTATTTTTCGCGCATGCGCAATCTGCGTAGGGCAAAAGAGCTTCGCCTTGTTTGACACTTACCGCCTTGTCATTCACTTTCAAAGTAATACCAATCGTGTAAATAGAGGATCTTGAAGAGCCTCGTTTTTATCGTTTTCAGATGACGAGTTTAATAAATTTAATACAACATAAACACGAAATTAAGATTCTATTTATGACATGACCAGAAAAAGCGCCCTGATAAACGAAGAAAATAAATTGCTGTGCCTTTTTTCTATATAAGGAGAAATGGGTCGAAGTTGTTATACGGTTTCTGACCCTCATGCGCTAAAAAAAGTAGTACTAGTTAAAACAGTTTTTTTTAGGAAAAACTATTGTGCTTACTGACATATAATATCACATTTATTTCGTCAAATTCATAACATGTTTTTATAGCAATAACAAGACTTAATATCATTCATTTGTAAAAATATCACATTGTCACCATCTTACTCATGACGTCAATGTTCATGTGTGTAAAGTTTGATAGCCGGCATCTTGCATATGAACTCGAATTTAATCACTATCGCTGTCTATGTATCGTGCACGTTTGTGGCCTGAATTTTGATTTAATTTGGAGTCATTTTGATGAACATGCACATGAAATGTTCCACCATGTATGGGAGCGCTGAAAATACTCTGAAACCCACCGGATACATGAAGATTGGACCTTGAATCGGTGTTGACATGTGCTGTGTTATGGTTTAACTGTGCAGAATTTGAACACGGATATGGAATGGGATTCGCTGGATTGTTTTCTTTTACATTGGAATGAAGGATGTCGGATATTTGTCTGTGCTGATTCTGATTTATGTGACTATAATTGTTGATGGATGCTATATTCTTATGACCGGATATTTGCATAATTTGGTTAGGAGGAATGTTACTGTCGTTCAATTTTTGAACAAGGTATTTTCGTGCACTGTGATTAGTAAGGCGTTTACTTGAATTTAAACCAGAATGCTGGACCATTCTCTTCATCATTGATCCTAGTTTGTTGATTCCTACTGGATTTCGTTTAAACCAGGTGTCACGGGGTGAAGGTAAGTGGATAGTTGTAGTTGCAATATAAAATGGATGGTCAAATTCAGAATAATTCATTGGACGTTTTTCAGCGTACAATTTGTAAACGGCAATCGGGCATCGATCATGATTTACAACATTTGCCCACATCTTAGGTTTTATTACCCTCACATCTCTCGGATTTTCACCGGACCGTGTCTTGGTTTGTCTCTCCGAAAATTGCAAGTATTCATGTCCGTTATCATCGGCCATTAATGAAATATCTCCCCAGCACATATCACGGTGTTCTTGACAACTTCTAAGTCCAAAATGTATGGTATTGTACAGCCAAAGTGTTTGAAGTATAGTGTCCGGTGTTCTTGTGCCAAGTTGGTCTGAGTTCCATAAATGGTCTATATCTTTGTCAGACAGCGGTTCACTTTTTTTTGGCAAGTTACCCCTCCCATCTTTTTTAAGCTGTCGTTGTTTCATAGACAGTGTCTCTCGAACTTTAGCAAATCCAGGGCCCAAAGCAATGGTTTGTTCATAACCTTTTCGACGTAACTGCCGATCAAAACTAGATATCATTCCACGCAGGACTGAAGGCTCATACTCGTCTCCATTTTGCTTTCTGACACTGACTAAAAACCGGCAAAGTAATGAGGACAATTCATTTTCTGGAATTTCAAAAATTTCACGATTTTCGTTTATCTCAGGTTCTTCAAAGAATTTCTTTGAAGAACCTGAGATAAACGAAAATCGTGAAATTTTTGAAAGATTTCAGAATTTTTAAATCATTAACAGTTTTTATGAGAGTGTTTTTATTACTTTGCTCGTGGTTAAAGGCGTCAACATCAGAGTCAGAGACAATATTAAATCTGGACCTTGGCCGTTCGGACATAGCGTTCATCTCGTCGGTAGGCACAATCGTCAATCTCTCCCTTTCAAGTTCAACTTCAAAGTTACTGTCAACTAGCCTGACCATGTAGCTCGTGGTGAACCCGCGGTAAACTATCTCAGTGACGATTCCAAGGCCGTGACCGTCGATTCGAACCTGATCGTTGACAGAAATGACATTCGACGCCATATTTGTTTATGTTTTTTGACAGCGCGTAGTGATAGTGATTCGGCTCATTAGCATATTTATTACACTAGTGTATTACTGACCCATTTAATACGTAAAATAATGAATGGGTTTACAACACTCCTGCACCGTGGGTCATGTTATAATATTATGTAATACATGGATAATAAAATTTTATCTTTAACACCCTGCTGTTTCAATTTAAATTACTGATAAAAAATTCATCTAATGATACATTGAACAGAGGAAATTTGGTCGTCGAATATTAGATTAGTCCCGCTAATTTTATATATCTGTCATAAATATCATTTTCACTTTTTTGGTACTTAACGCTTTAATTCATCCCAAAATTACTGTATTATGGGTGAAATGTAAACTGAAATATAACTTAGAGTAGACTTGAATATTTTCGTTTGTAATGCAAAGTAATGCATATGTAATGCGTGCATGTCACATTTCCACCAATGTGATACATTATCTTATCAATTGCCATTCGACCTTACAGAAAGTGAAATTAAGGTAGCACACCACACCAAATATAGCCACATCTTCGATTGGCCTTGGAGAATTTATTGGATATGTGTGACTATTGTGGATTTAAATGATTGGTTGTGACACTCTATAAAGTCCAATTTGTTTTTGGGACCTCTAATACAAATTCGAATACATGGCCAGAAATTACATTAAGTTGATTTTAAATGTCAAGGACACCATGGTTTTGTAAACAATGTTTTGTGATGCATGCTCGGTAAAATCAATACATTTGTCGGGGGGGGGGGGGGGTACAAACATTTAATAATAGCAAAATAGTCGGAAGGCGAACCACCTGTTTCTTTGTAATATTTTGCTTAAGCGTAAACAGTGTTGCTGTAGCACCAATATCTGCAGGAATTTTTTGCTAGAGCGAACCACAGAACACTAATGTAGATGGGTTAAATTTCATTATATTTTTGCAATGTTATAACATATATGTGCTCAACAAAATGTGTTTTCTTTTTCCAGTTTGTGTATTTTGGGGTCAGAAATATCAGATTTATTGACGGCAGGAACTTGAACTTTAGTGTGGAGTGCTCCTTAATGTTTTCTATTTGATGACGATGTTATCACAGACATAAAATTAAGTCTGGATAACAGATACGCTGGCACCATACAGAAAGAAAAAAGTAAACAACAACCGATCAAAATAAAATTTAAGAAACAAACCCAACAAAAGAACAACATTAAATACTATGCAGCTACATAACATGTATCTGTATAAGTGTAAAAAAACGAAACTAAAATAAAATAAAATAACACATCAACAACAACAAAATACTGATTATATTTATCAATAAGAAATATCTAAAACCACAAAAACCGTGCACATTAATTCAAAGAACATGAAACATATCAAATATATATTTTATTTGTAAAATGCCGAATTTCTGAATAGTTTAAAATAGAACTGTTTCTATTGAGAAACAATAACTATTATTATTTGTAGATTGAATGAAGCAGGCTATAAACTAATAGTTCTTCAATAACAATAATATTTATTAAAATTGTGATCTATCATTCGAGTAACGATTTATTGTTTTATTTTGTGCGAGGCTTTGTTAAGCAAAAGCTGTGCTCTTATATGAGACAAATTCAAGTAGTAGAGGTTGAAGAGGAGATTAAAAAAGTTTTACTTTATCCACATTATAAGGTAAACCCTTGACCCCCGTGCAGGTCCAATTTTGATCCAAGGATTATAATTTGAACAAATTTGGTAACGGTCTATCACACAATGTTTTATGCCAAATATCTAAGATTTAGTCATTGTAGTTCTTAAAGAGATTTTATTTTAAAGAATGCTACATATACACATATGGAAATCCCATGTCTCCATGGACAGGGCTACTTTTACCCCAAATCTATTATTTGAACAAGCCTGGTAGAGTAATTTATCATGCCAAATATCTATGCTCTAACCTTAAAAGCTTTAGGGAAGTTTTTTTTTAAAGAATTTACTATAAAATATAGGGAAAACACATTTTCCCCTTGTTTGGGGAAAATTTTGACCCAAGGGTTATTATTTGAAGAAACTTGTTAGATATCTACCACATGATGTGTCATGCAAACTATCTAAGCTCTAGCCTTTATAATTTCAGAGAAGACGGTTTTGTGGACATTTATTGAAACAAACATAAAGTATACTAAACATAATGATATAAAGATAATAGAATAGAACATTAAACAAAAGTACTTCAATATCATTATCATCTGCTGGAAATACTGTTATATCAACACTTTTATTTCCAATAAAGACTTGAATTTACATATATATACTAAATATCTATAAATAATTTGTTATATATAAACATGCCTTATTTGATAAAGTCGTTTGCATTTTGATAACTAGAATATCCAGCTGTCAATACTGTGCCACTGATGGCACTGAAAAACTTTATTATGAATTTTTGATTTAGTTTTTTTTTTCAGGATTTATTCATTCCTACATCATGCTTTGTTTCTAAACATTTGACTTTACAACTCAATAAAATATTCTCTAAATCATATTTTTAATTGGGGACCACACACCGCTTTCTAACGTGTCAAATTGACAATTCCATGATAAACGCCGTATGAACACAATTTCATCATTGCCATGTGCTAGGGGGCGTGGACAATAGCTTGCATTTTCCAGTACCGTCCAGGAACAGGCTAAATCAAACCGAGCCTGGAACATTTTCAATTTTGTCGTATTCGGCGTTCTTTTAGGAATCACTTTTACTACTTCTCATCTTTTCTTTCCTCATATTCTTCATCTGTTTTCTCTAGAATCAAAATGAAATAATAAACAATGAAGATTGCTTTACTACATTGTTTTTCATATTCCTTTTTATATTAAGAAATCTTTCGCTTCAACATATTGAAAACACAGTCGCTAGTAGAATAAAAAATGAATAAAATAAAAAAGAAGCACAATAGGGCGTACATGAAAAATTTAACAGCAACAATTAGCCTGTGTATTAAATTTTGACCTTGTGCCTGATCTTGAATTTTGAGCTATGGACCCGAACCTTGCTCGCTGTTCATATTTTTATACAAACAACATAATTCGATAATCCGCTTAATTAAATCAAACTACTTACAAGCAGTATCGCCTATATGGCTTATTTTGGCATTTTATCTAATCAGAAAGAACAGACAGAAGGACAGATTCGTATATCATGTGTCAATTTGTTTAGTACATGGTTTCCACAAATATTTACAAATAGAAACCATACTTGAACAGTGATTCACATCAACTAAGCTTAGACTAATATTTGTACATGCTATTTAGCAAGTGTGTGACTCAATCATTTTCATATTTTCCCAAAGCTTAAATGAAATCTAAAACCCATTACACATTTTAAAGAAAATTTTATGCACATACTACAGACTCATTATTTGTCATAGATCAAAAAACTGTAGAGGGTTGGCAAGTGATTAAGATTACGGCCTAACATACGATAAATTTTACAGCAATATTAGTTAAGATTGCGTGTCTATTGTTCGCCTAGCTTGTTTCTTGCCTTGATCTTGGAAATACAATTCGGAAAGGGGTATCGTCAATTGTCTCAATACTTGGTACCTTAATTTCAGCTTTGGAAATGCATCTTGAAAAAGATATGTTTTACAACTTACTGTGAGGAGCTCCGAACTTGAAAATGACGGTTGCACCTCCTGAAAATAAAATTGTAAATAATCTTGAAATCTTGTAAACAATGAAGACCTAGTACGGTATGGACACACAAAATAACAGAGTTTGTTTCACTGAATGAAAGTATATTCAACATGTCATCGGATATTTATTTGAAATCATAAAAGAATTCAACCACATCTTAATAAACGCTATGAAGGGAAGAAAGACGAAGCTGTAAGGGAATAAAGGTACGGCTGTTTTTACACATACTATAAATAATTTATTGTAAATAAAATAGAAAATGACAAATAGTAATTCAATATTAATAACATCTATAGGAAGTTAAGTATATGATATCTTGATAAAGTAGTTTAGATTTGGTAACTGGAAAATCCATTTACTCATACTTTACAGAATACCTTTATTTTAAAGTGGAGTCTAAAACAAATAGAAGCCGTACTTGAACAGTGATTCACATGAACTAAACTTAGACTTACATTTGTGCATGCTATTTAGCAAGTGTGTGACTCAATTATTTTCATATTTTCCCAAAGCCTAAATGAAATCTAAAACCCATACACACTTTAAAGAAAATTTTATGCACATATTACAGACTCATTATTTGTCTTAGATCAAATAACTGTAGAGAGTTGCAAATGATAAAGATGATGGCCTCACATACGAGAAATTTTTCAGCGATATTTAGATTGCGTGTTAATTGTCATAATAGCTTGTTTCTTGCCTTGATCTTGGAAATACAACTCGATAAGAGGTATCGTCAATTGTCTAATTACTTTGTACCTTAATTTCAGCTTTTGAAATACATCTTGAAAAAGATATGTTTTACAACTTACTGTGACGCGCCTCGAATTTGAAAATGATTGCACCTCCTAAAAATAAAGTTGTAATTAATCTTTAAATCTTGTTAACAATGAAGACCAAGTACGGTATGGACACACAAAATAACAGAGTTTGTTTCACTGAATGAAAATATATGAAACTTGTCAGTGGATATTTCTTTGAAATCATAAAAGATCTCAGCCACATCTTAATCAAAGCTATAAAGGGAATAAAGATGAAGCTGTAAGGGGATAAAGATACGGCTGTTTTTTACGCATACTATAAATAATTTAATTGTAAATAAAATAGAAAATGAAAAATAGTAATTCAATATCAATAACATCTATAGGAAATTATGTTATGTCATTACACAAATTACTAATTCATTCCAATTAAAGATTAAAATTTTTCCATACACTGTTATTTTTTAAGTTATGTATACGATATTTTGATAAAGTCGTTTAGATTTAGTAACTTTTGAAAATCCATTTACTCATATTTTACTGAATACCTTTATTTTAAAGTGGAGTCTAAAACAAATAGAAGCCGTACTTGAACTGTGTTTCACATGAACTAAACTTAGACTTACATTTGTGCATGCTATCTAGTCAAGTGTGTGACACAATCATTTTTATATTTTCAAAAAGCTTAAATGAAATCTAAAACCCATACACATTTTAAAGAAAAATTTAGGCACATACTACAGACTCATTATTTGTCTTAGATCAAATAACTGTAGAGAGTTGACAAGTGATTTAGATGACGGTCTCACATTTGATATTTTTTCAGCGATATTTAGATTGCGTGTTTATTGTCGCCTAGCTTGTTTATTGCCTTGATCTTGGAAATACAATTCGAAAAGAGGTTTTCTCAGTAATTGGTACCTTAATTGCAGCTTTTGAAATGCATCTTTCAAAAGATATGTTTTAAAACTTACTGAGAGGAACCTCGAACTTGAAAATGATGGTTGCACTTCCTGAAAATAAAGTTGTAATTAATCTTGAAATCTTGTAAACAATGAAGACCTAGTACGATATGGACACACAAAATAACAGAGTCTGTTTCACTGAATGAAAATATATACAACATGTCAGTGGATATTTATTTGAAATCATAAAAGAATTCAACCACATCTTAATCAACGCTATGAAGGGAATAAAGATGAAGCTGTAAGGGAATAAAGGTACGGCTGTTTTTACACATACTATAAATAATTTATTGTAAATAAAATAGAAAATGACAAATAGTAATTCAATATTAATAACATCTATAGGAAGTTAAGTATATGATATCTTGATAAAGTAGTTTAGATTTGGTAACTGGAAAATCCATTTACTCATATTTTACAGAATACCTTTATTTTAAAGTGGAGTCTAAAACAAATAGAAGCCGTACTTGAACAGTGATTCACATGAACTAAACTTAGACTTACATTTGTGCATGCTATTTAGCAAGTGTGTGACTCAATTATTTTCATATTTTCCCAAAGCTTAAATGAAATCTAAAACCCATACACATTTTAAAGAAAATTTTATGCACATATTACAGACTCATTATTGGTCTTAGATCAAATAACTGTAGAGAGTTGCAAGTGATTAAGATGATGGCCTCACATACGAGAAATTATTCAGCGATATTTAGATTGCGTGTTTATTGTGACCTAGCTTGTTTCTTGCCTTGATCTTGGAAATACAATCCGGAAAAAGGTATCGTCAATTGTCTCAATACTTGGTACCTTAATTTCAGCTTTTGAAATGCATCTTGAAAAAGATATGTTTTACAACTTACTGTGACGCGCCTCGAATTTGAAAATGATGGTTGCACCTCCTAAAAATAAAGATGTATTTAATCTTGAAATCTTGTTAACAATGAAGACCTAGTACGGTATGAACACACAAAATAACAGAGTTTGTTTCACTGAATGAAAATATATGCAACTTGTCAGTGGATATTTATTTGAAATCATAAAAGATCTCAGACACATCTTAATAAACGCTATGAAGGGAATAAAGATGAAGCTGTAAGGGAATAAAGATGAGGCTGTTTTTTTACACATACTATAAATAATATAATTGTAAATAAAGTAGAAAATGACCAATAGTAATTCAATATCAATAACATTTATAGGAAATTATGTTATGTCATTACACAAATTACTAAATCATTTCAATTAAAGATTTAAATTTTCCATATAATACACTGTAATTTTTTAAGTTATGTATATGATATCTTGATAAAGTCGTTTAGATTTGGTAACTGGAAAATCGATATACCAATATTTTACTGAATAACTTTATTTTGGAGTGTAGTTTGGAAAATCCGTCTACCCATATTTTACTGAATAACTTTATTTTGAAGTGGAGTCTAAAAAAATCTATTTTTACCTTTGCCATATTGTTTAGTTTACAAAAAATGACCTCAACAGATCTCTAAAATTAGTCCCCAGGAAATATATTTTTCTGACCTTCCATCTCCTCCTTTGTGTTCTTGAAGCAAAATGCCGATACTATACAATCAAAATTTCTTTAATACTTTACTACATTAACAAAATTGCTTTATAATACTTTACTACATTAAGAAATTATCCACTTAGTATAATATATTAGCACAGCTGCTAGTGGCAAAACCATTGCGTAAATGAGGAATTTACCAGCAACAACTAGCATGTGTATTTAATTTTGATCTGCCTGATTAAGATTTGTGAGCGACAGACCTTGCTTGCAACACTCGTCTTCTGAATTGATGTTAAGTATATTTTTTAAATAATTTCAATAAATGTTGAGGACTGATCAAATCCTTTAAAAAAATTTTTGGTACAAGCAACTATTCATACCATATATTATTAAATTGATGAAAATTACCGCCTACATGGCTTCAGACAAGAAAGGACAAACAGAAAAACTGATTCTTACTATATATCACTTTGCTTTGCTAAGTATGAGGTTTTCACAAATAATTATAGAAGCCATACGTTTACATCGTTCGACTAACTTTCGCTTCAATAAATTTATATGCATCTTATTTTTCAAATTTAAGAGTTCTATAATACACAAAAAGCTTCATTGTAAATTAAAATTTACTTTTGTAGGGTGGTTCTAATGAAGAATCAATCAACGATATATATTTTTACATAAAGGTACTTAAATATGATTTCTCACACTAAACTGAATGGAAAAACTTCGTTTCCTATAAATAACAACTTTAGGGTTAACTTTGCTTGAATGTTCATATTAGACTGGCTCTATATTTATGGTAAAGGTAATTAAAACACTTTTAATTCAAGCAAAGAAGGAGATACAAAGATAAACACTCATAAATCATTATTGTTTTGGAATTATTTTAAACAAAAGTGTTTACCCTACTTGGTTAAAGATTATTTACCTCTTCGGATGAACATGTGTCATCTTTTTCTGAAAGGCTTTCACTTGCAACACGTTCTTGTATCATTCTTTCATCTTCTATGACCGCTATTTGTTTTATATTTTTCACGTAGCCTTCAATTGTATCATCAATGACTGGTTTATATTTTTCTTTATCGGATGAAAAATCGAGTTTTGATAACTCCCTTGAAAATTCTGCAACAAGAATTTCAGCCCTTTTTAGACTTATATAAACAAGAGGTTCTTTCCCAACAGCAGTTGATTTGAGTAGTTGCTCAAACTCTTTTAGTTTGCCTTCAAATCGAGTTAATGTTTGTCTTACGTTATCGGAATAATAGTCATTTTGATCGAACTTCTCCTTCACCTCTTCAAATGATTTCTCTATAAGCGAATCAAACATTTCGTTTATTCTACTGCGAAATGATTCTAGTTCCTTTATGTACCCGGACCTTGACGTTTGGTTACTTTCTGTTTTTTCCCTTACTTTATCGGCGCAAGATTCGATAATACGGAGTTGCTCTTCGATTTGTCTCATCATGTCTTTTACGTCGTCTTCCAAATTATTTTGCATTGCCGATTCTAAGATATATTCCATGTCGGTACATGACCTAAAATTGAGTATATCATTCTTAATCGCTTTAAAATCGAGTTTGAAATAATTGAAATAAATATATAAAAAGAAATTGGAGAAACCAATTAAATGCGTAAGAATAATACAATATAGAGACAAATGAGTAAGTTTTCCTCGTTTTTGTATACTTTTAAAAACATGTATGTGTTGAGTGCACATTTTAGGTTACATGACTACAGCAGTTCTGTTCTTTAAAACAAAATTATTTAATTGCCGGGAATGACTTCTTTCTTATTTTGGATGACGCTTATGACATATATTTCTTTCTTAACATAAACGTTATATAAATGACTTATAATGTGGTAAAAATCTACAAAAATCTGCCAGAAGGGTTACCAGTCGAGAGTAACACTAGAAAAAATGTGAGTTTTGCAACTATCTTATGTTACAAAGCCATGTACATGTAATACTTTTGGAATTGGAGAATTATTAGTTGGCTTCATGATAAAGCATACCAAACGTTGAGTCATTTTACTTTCAACTTGAAACCATTTAAGACCAAGATGTAAAAAAGATATAAAACCTTCTACGTTTTTTCCCTGAATAAACATCAAACTATATAGAATAAAATACAATTATTTAGGGTTTTGGGAAAAAGAAAAAAGTTTAGAACTTCAACAGCTTTTTAAACATTTCTAGTGGTACATCAACTTTTATTGCATATTCTTTTCTTTTGCTAGACCATTTTTGTATCTTTTTAATCTTTAAACAAGGTTACCATTACTAACAGGAATGTTAATTTTCTGTATTGTTAAATTTTAAGTTGCAATAACATATGTTATTTTATGGAATCTACCAATACATTCAAACTTATACGTAACATCGACTCTTGCATACGGATTAAATGTACATCTTTCTAATGCACAAAAATGCAATTTCATATGTTTTTTTATTTATTTCTTGTTTGAACATTATTAAGCCTTATATAACAGTAACGTTTGTTTCATTTTGGTTACTTAAATAACTTAAAAACTCGATAGAAGTTATCAAAATTTTCTATTTAAAGTAGAATTAAAGATTAGTTGCTGTCATGTTAAAGAGAATCAAAGATTAGTTGCTGTTATGCATGTTTTCTTAAGAGATCCGAATTTCCCATTGGATATTAAATTTCTTTAAAATATGCTGGTCATACAAGTTTCTGTAACGTATGTTTCAATTTGGCATTGAAAGTGGATTGAAAAACAAATCATTATTCGTGGTAAATGTATTAGAATTACAACGATTATATTTCATTCTTGTTTTAGATTCTTCTTAAGCGGATAAGCAATATTTGGCGATATTTTGACCATCCATTATATCAGTGTGGTTTTAAAAGCCAAATTTAGTTTTCAAAAATAAACTAAGTGCATATACTTGCAGTGATGATGACTTATTCTATATGTTTCTTTTATTCTGAAACCTTTGATTCTACAATACATCCTCACACTAATGTTGAAATGTTTGCGACAGTGACGTATGTCTTAGGGTCAAAGATAGATACAAAAATTGTAATACAGTGAATGCTAACTGATATGTAATTGTAGCCTTCATAAAAATCTATGTTCAAGCCATTTGTTATATGTTGTTAAGTACAATGTTATCGATTTTCTTCATGATTTGGCTAAAATACCGATCAGTCACTGATGGCCCTGTCTTATAGGGGCGTGTCAAAGATAGACTGGCATGTGGACAAAATTCACTCTGGATGTAGTAAACAATTGAATGTGTTGCAGTAAAATATCCCCTCAACATTAAACATCGATCATCCTGATTAAATACTAGACTGCAATACCATTTGTAGCTGAGTCTAGTTATAAAACTATGTAAGTCAAAGATCACCCTATAATTAAAGCTAACCATTTACCAACCCTTCATTTATGAAATAGAAAACAACCCAAAATAAAGGTCATTTGTCTGTAAAGGTCATGTTCAGACGACATTTGTTCACAGGTTTTCTGAAGAACATACGAGTGGTTATCACCGAAGAGAAAAGGAGATGAAAACAATATTACATATACTGCTTTTAAACGACAGAAATCAAATTTGTAGGAAAGCTACAAATGACAAATGCTTTTGATTCAATTGAAATTCTTACGGCATGTAATAATATCGCGAGAAAGTCTTTAAGAATTATGTGCTTTTAATGAGTCAGTTTTTTGGTCAAGATATTAACTCTATAATTACATGACATAAGGAAAACAATGTGTTAAGGCGTTCATCGTAATTCAATAAGTTTAATTGTTCATTAGTAAATATTTATTCTACAACAGTTACTAAAGAATATGCTGAAAACTGTTGCATTTATAATCTTAAAGAAATGGTTCGTCCCAGAGTGGTCAAATTTGAAATATATTTAGGTGTATCGCAATAACGTTTTTGGAAGTTTCAATAAACATATTACTAAAATGATATTACCTATGCTTTAGCGATATGCAAACATGACAACATAACATCGTATGTTCTTTACAGAAGAATTCAAGGTTTTTGCCATGTGAAGTACACTTATACTGATCTCTTGACCAGATGTCAATGTCATCATGTTTCAAGACAATATGCTTGGCAAGGTAAGGTACCCTTAGATGCAGCTCAAAACAATCCTCGCAGTAGTAAGCCTCACAATCAGTGCAGTAGAACTCAGGTTTTGTCTCCTTATCTTTGGTTTTGCAGGGAGTACAGTGTTTTGTGTCTTCCATGTGTAATGTTTTGTAGTCTGATTCAGCCATATCTGAAGATGTAAAATAGTTCATTGTATACTTAATGACTAGAACAGTGTGCTCGGCGCTTCTCAGTGCTTGATAGTAAAACATCGGTACATAAAATGTAGTAATTTACCAAAAATAGAACAAATTGTTATAAATGCTTTTATTTTCAGTCTTGGACATCGTTGCTATATTATAATCAAAAGCATCAAATGAATACCTTTGCAGTAGTGAAGATAGATCTAACACAAATCTTTGACCATAAATTTTCTTATTCATAAAATTCACAAGACCTATAATTCATTCAAAATCCACGAAAGAGATGTGTGTCTTGTGACCTATAGACAAGTGAATGCCTCCAGTAGTTGTGTATATATCACGAAAACAAGCTTTAACCTGGCCTTGCATTTATTTTAAACAAGGTGAAGAGTTATAAATATAACATAAAACTTTAACTGTGGTATTTAATTACTATATTATATATCTTAAAGACATATTTTCCCAGATATTTTCCAATAATTGTGGAGATTGATCTAGTACTCGACATTAGAATGACTTATTGTCTATGCTAACAAAGCACTATTATTCGGTCAAAACCATTGCTAGAATTATTGGTCTTTGACAGTCACCTGCAGCTCTGACGACCCAATGCCATGTGTCTGACTGAATTCCTCCAATATACACATTGCTTGACACAAAATGTTACCCCCGCTGAAATGCCCATGCACAGGTTAGATTGTCTCAATGTTCTCCGTACAGTCGAGATGAAATTTGTTATGGTAATTGTGTATGTATTTAGGACAAATATGGACCATATCTATTTCTATATCTATTTCAGAAATGAAAATAATATCACGTTTAAAGTATATTAAGAAGTACGAAGCGACAGTGAAATAAATATTTCTAACTTAAGTGTAGGGGATAGCCAATACTTACTATTCAAATTCGTCATTTTCTATAGTTTTTTCATTACGTCAGATATTTCCATAACTGGTGCCAAAAAACGCAAACGTGCCATTCCGTTCAATAAATGGGACTTTGAATAACATTCCCGACAAACTAACGCATCACTCCAAAATTGGGGTGTACAACAAACGAGCAAACAGTATTTCCGAGATAAGCGGAAGGTCGATTTAAACGGCTAATAGTTAGTATATGTTTTATTTATGTTCTAAAAGACAATTAAATAATTACTGAGCAGGTGTGGGTGTGGGAAACGTGGCTGTTCTAGTGTAAAACATTTGCATGGTTTTGAAGTTCAGTATTCAACAAATCGTCGTTCACTTCGTCAGGTGAAAAAATTCTCAGAGTTTAATGAAAATTTATCTTATATTATAACAGCTTAGATCATTGAAAGCCTTCAACAATCATATACGGAACTACAGGGATCGATTTTCAATAAAACAATTCAACTTAAACGAATTGGAAAAGAAAAACATAAACAACACTTAAATTTAGCCGTTTAAATCGGCCATTTCGGAAAACCAGTTTGGTCGTTTTTCAGTACAACACAATTTTGGTTTGCCTAACTTGATTAACTTTTTACGGTTGTATATATTAATAGGTTTAATAAAACTAATTGGTATCAGAAATGTAAAAAGTAAGATTTATTTTATGCTTTTCAGTGGATTACTGATTTATCCGTGAAAATTATATTTGATAATTTCACAGTGAAAATTATCAAAATATAATTTCAGACTTTTCAATGACAAAACTACATTTTTAAGATTTTCCCCATGTGGTACCTCAATTTTATTTTTGCTGACAATTCTGACAATGTAAGGCTGTTTAAATAAAAGCAAAGCTGAAATTGATAAATAACTTAAATGTCAAAAGTAATAAAAAGAAGAAAACTTACACTTATTCATTCAAATTCCAATCACCAAATTTCGTCTCTAAATTTTTAATTTCATTTTTACAGTCTGAAAAATAATACATTCCTTCCACATGCTAAACTGCTCTTTATGACATTTGGGCATATTAAAGTATCCTACGAGCAATAACTGCCGCATGCTTTATGAAAACTTGAAAAGCATGACACCCATAGCCCGTAGAATAAGTAAACAACCCAGCGTTCCTGAGACAGCCTTTGAAGTTTTCCATTTTTTCTTGCTGCTTTTTGAATGATTTCACATCTGTCAACACTTATTTTTTGTCTGTTACAATCTTCAAATAAGTTTTCTTTCTTTTAAAAAGGTGTATGAATAACAAATCCAAATGATATCCCTCTGAATAAAACACAATTATTTTCTTCCCGTGAAATACACAACTTTAAAAAAATGGCTGCCGTTTACATTTAACAAATGGAAATACATGTATGGATGGATGGTTGGACTTTATCTCCTACAAAAATTGTTTGTTTTTATTATTAAAACAAGTGATCTTTCATATTTTTTTAATAAAATGAATAATATCACCGTCATTTAACGTTGATTGTCGAACTAATTTTTTCAGCTCAAGACTTCTTGTATTTAATGAGAAATTCCGACTAAATGGGGCTCTTAATGGGGAAAACAGATTTTAATGCTAACGTTAATATTATGGAAATTTCGTTTTTACTCGTTTTTAAGCATAAAATAAAAAGAAAATTTGTTAGTTTGTTGTGTAAGATGTAATTTTATTTCACCCCGTGAACTTTAAAAACAGTATACTGTTTTTAAAGCCCACTTGATGAAATAAAATTTCATCTTACACACAAACAAATAAATATCCTCTATGTATTTTATAGTAAACAATTTGTTAACAATTTTTCTAGTGTGTTTGATAATGCTCAATCTTGTAGATAACGTTTAATTTGATTAATTTAATATTTGGAAGAATGTATACGGTAAGTAAACATTGGAAATACTGTACAAAACAATCTAAACTTTGTAAATATTGCTGTTTTATACACTCACTCGGAACATTTATAATAAAAGCACTGATACAGTATCACGTCTGATTATACAAACAAACAAATGCTTGAAAATGGATATATAAGTTTACTAGTTTGATGCATAAAACGTTACTAAATTCTTAAATACAGAAAAATAGCAAGATCAGATTTTAACATAAAAACAAAGCAAAATCTTTACTACAGATATACTCAAACGTGTAGCATTCACTTATATCTACTTTAGTATCTTTTAAGAAACATTACCTTGATAAACACATCCAAATCTTAGTTTCGTGCTCACAATTATATTCGGATAGTTTCGTCTGATTACGGAAAGAGACGGAGATAACTAAGGGCTTATTGATTTGTAAACACAACTTAACAGTGGTTAAACATATATGCTTTTTTTGTAGTCGGCTATTACGGGTTATTAGCGCCAAGAAAGTATTGGTAATGTATTTTCTTGTTATTTTTTTTCGAAAGACAACATTAATTGTATAGCCATTATCCATAACAAACACAAATACTGGTCGTTTTAACATGCATAAATTTCGAATGATTAGAAATAAAATGTTTTCGGATAAAAATGAATGAGTACGTCGGTATTTTCAGACATTCTTACATATACATGTATAGAATAATAATCAATGAGCCGACTGGGGTAAAACACTAGACAGTATTTGTATTTTCTTGTTTGGAAAGACACCATAGAGTTCAGCTCAATAGTCATAGATCTACTTGTAAAAACTTTTCCAATCAAAACTTCACGAAAATTGACAAATGCAGTTTAAAATTTTGTCAAAGCAATTGCCATATGTACAACAATACTTATAAACTTAGTTCAATTATCTGATTCGCCTTATTCTTTACGAGAGAAGTAATTTTCTAAGTAAACATACTGAGCAGTCTATATATTAACAATTACTAAATATTTGTCTTCAAGATATATTATATACAGTACCCCATCTCTTTTCGTCCCGAATTTGGAGGTTAGGGCATCAGGAACAATCGATTTAGCAGCATGTGCTTGTCAGCAGATAGCATAAACATATCCGTGCTTCGATGATGGGGTAAGTAGATGTGCAATAGAATTTATATAGAGTCCAGGAAAACAGTGTTCATTTGGTTTATGTTCTACTTCTTCAAGGTAAATTACATGAATGTACTATATACGATAATGAACTTTTAAATATCATGTGCTGTTAATGTGCACACAAAAGTGATTCAATAAGTGATTCAATATCTATTTTCAGCTATAAATTGAAATGAAAATGTTTGAAATGCCTTAAAACAATCGTTAGATAACATTAGTGAATGATATTTTAAAATCTCTGGTGTTACCGTTTGTATAATAAAATTTCTATAAAGAAAAAAAAAAAAAAGAAAAAAAAAAGAGAAAAGATTTTGTTCGGCTTGTAGATTGACACGATTTAACAAATGTGTTCAATGAACTTTTATTATCTTGTTTAACAGCGTGTCATCATCTGAAACCTGAATATGCATTTAAATTTTGAATGTTTTTTCGATTTAAGAAGATGATTTTAAGCAAAAATGTTTTTCAGACGAGTTTACATCATTATAGAAAATACTATCATTCTAATATTGAATATTTATAATGATATTCATGCTTAGTTGTGAATGTATTCAAATAACCTTTAGTAAAACAGTTATTCAAGTAAACGTTTTGTATAAACAGCAATCAAATAAATACTGACATACTTGTAGATCTACCCTTTAAGAAAAAAAAATATACTTAATCGTCCGGGAATCGTAGACGGCATACAACATCTACATTGTTAAGGAACCGCCTCCGTGGTCGAGGGGTTAGAGTCGACTTCTAATCCAGTTACCTCTCTAGCGTGGGTTCGATTCCCGGGAGATGCTTTGGTAGTTTAGCGCGGAGGAAGGTAGTCTAGTACTGGTGTAACTCTCCAGGAACGATGGTTAGGAAACTACCCGCCTATATGACTGAGATACAGTTGGGAAAAGGCGTTAAATGAAACAAAAGAAAAACAACAACATAACAAACAAACAAACAAACAAGCATTGTTAAAGAACAATCACAGACGATTAAAATGATTCCAATGAAAGCCAGTCCAAGATTCTTTCGGAATTATTTTTATCATATTCAATTGAGGTTTAAATGA